GTACATGGAAGCTTATGAGCCTCCACTATTTCTGAGGAGAGAACAGTTGTCTCTGTTTTATTATATTAAGTAGAAATCTCAGATTAAATCTTCAGTTTATCATACAGTATTTGATACTCAGTTGGTAAGATTATTTGTAGCTTGCTCAAGCTGTGTCCTTACATTCAACATAAGAATGGAGAATGTAAACAGTACGATTGACCTGGAAATGGGCAACATTTTGCAGCCTGAGGTTGACTGTGTATCACCTTGGTCTACTCCTGTGATAAATGTTGACTTTTGCTTAAAGCAGTTTCCTAAGGAATCCACTCCAGACTACATCTACAGACAGCACTTTGCAGAAATCCAACACAATGACAGGAATTTAATTCCTATATACACTGACGGTTCTAAATTGTATGATTATGTTGGCTCAGCCTTTGTCTGCCAGGATGAAATCGTGGCAGAACAAATAGCATTGAATTCTTCCATCTTCACAGCTGCAGGCTATTTACCTAGCATTAAATAATGTAATCAGAAAAGGTCATCGTCACTGCGTGATTTACACTGACTCGGTTAGTGCACTTCAGGCTTTGATCTCATGTGAACCTAGTTCTCATTCCATAGTGATTAAAATCTGTAAACTGTTTACCATCTTACTGCAAGTGATTTCTTTGTAAAATTTTGTTGGGTCCCAGGCCATGTAGGTATAAAAGAAAATGAAGAAGCTGACGCAGCTGCAAAGTCAGCTAGTCCTTCACGGCATACAATACATATTGAAGGAGGTGATTTGAAGCTAGTCATTAAAAAACGACTAGTAGAGAGATGGCAAAATGTGTGGAACACACAAGTCCACGTTAAACTGCATGATATCAAACCTATGATAGAAAATTGGACACACAAGAAATTTTATGACAGGAGATTTGAAGTTATTATTACTCGTTTGAGAATTGGATATACTCAGTTGGCTCATCAATACCTTTTGAAGGGCGACGAGCAGCCAGTATGCTAGTATTGCAACTGTCCTCTTACTATAAAACACATACTGCTTGATTGCTCTGTTTTTGAGACCAGGCATAGACAGCATTTTGGAAATGCAAGTTTTAAAGAGATTCTGGGCCAGAGACCCAATCTTTATAATGTATTGGACTTTTTTAAAAAGTCACTAATTTGTGTAAAGAAATTTAATTATTTATTTATTTATTTTTCATTTTTTCGTTTGTTTTAGTTTGTTCTTAATATGTATATATTTGTTTTTGTTGTTGCTGCTGCTGTTTATTTATTTATTTATTTTTGTCATATATTTGTTATTTGTGATGTTTAAAATTATTTACCATTTGCCATGGCGCAGCTTAATCTATATGGCGCTTGTGCCAAAAAACCAAAACCAACCAACCAGTCAGCATGTTTTATGATAGGTTACACTAGTCAATAAAACTAAGTGCTGAGGTTTTTTTTGTAAATGTCAAATTAGGTTTTTGTTTTAAAATTTACTTAACAGTATCTCTTCATTAGGTGAACCAGTCAAAGTTTATGCTTTCTTCCATTTAAAGTTTGGTTACTTTGTTATGTATCAATTGAGGTTAAAAGGGAATGGAAACATAATAAATATGACGCTGGGCAAAATACACATTCACAATACATTGTATACAAGTTGTCTGTAGTGTCTATTGGAACACTGGTTAACTGGTAAGTTTTTATAACCTAATCCAGTGTTATTAAGTTGGGTGATTTTTTTTTCTTTTGTTGCTTGCAATAACCTTTTCATCTACCTGAATAAAGTAACTTTTTGGTTGATTCAAAATGTTAAAGCCAATATTAGACTCTATTTCTACTTATCTTAGAAAGTAAAATAACATAACCTGTTACTTACTTTTTTGTTTTTTTCATTACTGTAGTTACAGACTAACTTGGTAGGCAGTTTTTAAACCTCATAGCTCACATTAGGCCATACTCTAAACCAAGAATCAAGAGTTAGAAGTTAACAAAGATGATAAAATTTTGGAAATATTATAATTTAAATGGTACCATATACCATTTAATTTACATTTTAATGATGATAATTGTTCTGTTTTTTAACAGAAGATGCACTTGATTCAGCATGATGAACTGAACTGAATAAAAATTAAGATGAAAAATGCCAGGTGGTTGAGTGGTTGCACTACATAGTGTTAAAAAAGGAACAAATAATGACACAGTTTCAAAATTACTGACATTAATTAATTGTGTAACAAAATAAATTACTTTTTCATTAAATTTTTGTNGACCATCAAATTTGTAATCACTTGCCAGTTGCATCTGGATTTGTTGTAAAAAATTTTTAAGGACTTAATAAATGCCCGGTGCAGGGCGCTCTCTGGGTCTCATGCCTTCTTTCACACTTTCCTATCTTCCTTTCTTTTCACACTTCAAACCTCATGCTTTCTCTTCTTTCCTACTTCCAAGGGCTAAGTCCGTCGCTTAAAAGACGGACAGCTCTCTAATTCTCTTTTTAAAGATGTTTAAAGATGTATGTAAACCAAGAAATTTATTAAGGAAAAATTTAATAAATTTATATTTTGTAACAGATTACAGGATAAGTAGTATAAAACCTTCAACACTTTCTAGCAATTTTCTTTAATCAAACTAACATTTTCAGCTATATTTAAAGACCTTTCTCATGTTCGACGCTATTTGGAATGTCAGAGATTCAAAAATTTGTTTTCTTCTCAGCTAGAAAAAGTGTCAAAAGGTTTTATATCACTTATTTACAGAAGTTCTAGCTTTTCGTGCATATAATTGATTACAGGATTTATTAATGAATAATAATTAAATAAAAATTACGTTCTCCTTTTGGAAGTTACTTTTGTAGTTATGGATTAATAACAGGATAAACTATATTGACATAAAGCATCTTATTTGAAACTTTTAATATTTAACAAATTTAAAAATATAACTTTCTTTAACTAACAATTTTAATCTAAAAATTTTTGCTTTTGCAAAATTGATCTTTTTAAAAATTCAAAAACAAAAATAATGCATTAGAAAAAACATACAATTAGAAATAACTAAATATATTAGTAAATATTTTCTGTAATTTTATTATATTTTAAATCATTTTGCTTGTTTATAAGATTTTGTACACAATATTGAAATAAAAAGATGATTTCTCAATGAAATATTTATGTACTGATTATTGGCGAATTATCATCACTTGTAATTAATCAGCGGAGGAATCAATTAATACAATTAATGATTAGCAGACATTCAGTACCTCTCTAATTTCCAGTAAACTTACAATAAAACCTATTTTGAATTAAGAAATTGCAGAAGTAAAGTTGTAAGCAATTACATCTTTCTTCTAATGTGATTCATAAAGTGTAGTGACTTAAAATATGATTAAATTATAATCCAAATACAGGGTGGACCAAAAAGAATATACGTATTTTAAACTGATATATTTAATAAACTGTAAGACATGGAACTTGGGACACATATTTATGAAACTCTCTAGTTTAGATTACAGGTGTTCAATATGTTCTCCACCAGCGACACGAACAATATCACACCGATACTCAAATTCCTGCCATACTCGACTAAGCATGTCCGGTGTCACTGATGTAATGGCAGTACAGATCCGGTTCTTCAACTCATCGAGGTTCTGTGGTAGTGGAGGAACGTTCTGAGAAATTGTTATCGTTGTCAATAACATCCTGAATCTGGACACTAAATTCCACACGTTTATGTTTGTCATCATTATTCAGAGCCTGTAACAGCTGTAACTTGTACGGCTTCATAACTAACCTGCGTCTCAAAACATGCCAAACTGTTGTTTTAGGCAGCTGCAATTCCCGACTGGCATGACGTGTTGATTTTGAAGGGCTACGTTGGTAAGCAGCTTGAATCCGTGCGACATTTTCTTCAGATACACGAGGTCAGCCAGGACTCTTTCCTTTACATACACAACCTGTGTCAACAAACTGACGGTACTATCTGCGAATGTTCCATCCATTCGGAGGATCAATTTTGTACCTCAACCGGAAACGTCTTTGCACTGTAATCACGGAATTACACTTCGCAAGCTCAAGAATACAAAAGCTTTTGTGCTGTGGCATAGCCATTTTACAACAACTGTGAATACGTCATTGTAACCAAGCACAAGTGACATCTGGGGGACAAACTACACAATGCACTCGTTCCTCCGATAACCACAGCACACCGCTACTATCGATAGTTTACTAAATATATCAGTTTGAAATACGTATATTCTTTTTGGTCCGCCCTGTATATTCAAATTGTTAATATAGTATTATAAATGTGTCGAAAAAATTTATAGAATTAAAGTAGTAGAACATTTGTAACTAATAAGAAAAGTGTTAGTTTACACAAAACTCCACATACATTTAATTGTTCTAGTTATTACCATTTGTTATAATTCATTAAAGACATGTTAATGGCATTAATAGAAATATTATTTTACAACAACTGGTGTCATTCATCATTTCAAGATAATGAAACTCTGTTGTCAATAAGAATTAACACTCATGCTGAATCTGATTACTTCCATCTGTCTTGATGATGATAAAGATCTTCTAATGGTGCATTTTTTGAATCCAGCCTTGAAATAGCTAAATACAAGTTTATTTTGATTTTGACTTGCATCATAATAAAATTTTATAAATAATAATTTACATGAATAATTCAATCAACTATCCAATACAACTGAAATATGATACCTGCTAGGCTTTATATAATATGATGAAGCATGTAATGAGAAGCTTTAATGCAAAGTTTTGTATGACATACAAATTTCCCTCATCATTTCATTTTTACAGCAAGTATATTATTTTGAGTGTGTTCAGTTTCTGTATATTATATTCCAATAAATTTTGAGTGCTTTTTTTTTCATTGTTTAACAGTAAATTGTAGAATTTTTAAAATTTTATTTATCATTATTCTTACTTAAAATTTAGTATAAGTTATTTTTAATATATTTAAAAATATATTTAATATATTTAAAAGATTCTTAAATTTTTTTTTAGGCGTGAAAATGGCAGAAAATGAACAAGACCTTCTTGATTATGAAGAGGAGGAGGAACAAGAACAGACAACTACTGAAACTGCAACAGAAACAAAAAAGCCCGCTTGTGGATATGTTGCAATTCACAGTTCAGGATTCAGAGATTTTCTTCTTAAACCTGAATTGCTAAGAGCTATTGTTGATTGTGGTTTTGAACATCCATCGGAAGGTTTGTTTTATTGTTGTAATTTGATAGTTTATGTAATTTAAAAACATTAATATAGAAAATAATTTAAATTTGGGGTATGCAAGCAACTTGAAAGTAGCATTTTAATTTTCTGTAAATTTTTCATTACAAAATTTAACCCAAATAACATTTGAAGAAATAATATACAATATAACTAGATAGTTCCATCATGCTTGATAGGCAGTATGTAGTTAATGGTTGGGCCTTTTATCCCATACAGGTCACTCAGTGCCTCCTTGTTATGTTACTATAACATGGTGAAAATGCATTTATTCCACCCATTTTCCCTAGTGAAGTCTGGCATCACAGTCTTCAAGGGTGTAAGTTGGTTAAGTAAATTTTACATTTTTTTAGATGTGAAATTTACTTGATCAATATTGCTTTGTTTTCTCTTAGGCATTTTCTTAGACATCAATGTACCACACTTCTAGCTAAAAATGATACTGCTGAATGGTATGAGTTAGTGCCATCTGCACTCTGATTTTGGATATTATAATAATAAAATTAATAATAATAAATATTTGTTATGAAATAGCATCATCTGTGGAGAAAGAAAGAAAATAGACAGACTGTGGTTATTTGCTTATATTAATAATAATCATAATGTAGAATTGAAATTCTTGAAACAGTTACATCCAAAAAATGGTTAAAAATATTCTGTTTGCTTTAAAAAGCACAATTATTAAATTTCAATTATATGTCAAATACATTTATATCTTTTTATTTCTGTTTTGCATTGCTATTTTTTATATTGTTTGTTTGTTATGGAAATATTTGGCATGATACAAAATATCATTAAAATATGAGTAGATACTGCATTACATTATAATTTTAAAAAAATTCATTTTAAATTTTGCAACATAACTGTCCATTACTTTTTTGTGATCTGAAGATAAATTTTAGAATTTCTTTACTGTAAGTTTTATTTTGCAAATTTTTATATTGAAAACTATATCTTATTCCAAAATTTATTTGTTAGACAATATTTTTATATTACTTAAAAGATCAATGAATTTTTTTTTCTTTGTATTAATGAACAAATTGAAAGGAATATTCAGTTGCCTACTTTCTTATAACTTTGTCATTTTCCAAAAGTCTCAATTTCCTTATAATTCTTTAATTCATATTTTGACACCTGATAAAGAGCAGATGCTGAAATATGTTATGAATTTTAAAAAATATAGTGAAATTGTCTTTGGATAATTATCGTATTTACTTGCATATAAGATGACCTCGCATATAGGATGAGGTGTGGCTTTAAAGATCAAAATAAAGAAAGATTTATTAATACAATTCTAATTTTATTTTGTTTAATCACAAGTAAAATATCAAATGTACATAAGTGCACACATTGTCCTGCAAAAATTACTGACATTTTAAATTTTAAGGAAAAATCATGTAAAATTGATAACATAATTTGTTCGTGTAAAGCTGGACAATTGAAAACTTTTTTTTTTGCCAGTTGTTCAGTCAAATCCACTCTCCGTTGATTACATTTATGAGTTTCTCCAAATTCTGATTTCCAAATAATCATCAGTTTTCACTTGGGAATGGCTTAAAACTTAAAAACTTATATTGTGTTCCTGTGTGATTTTGAATTTCAATCTGGAATTCAATTTTCCTATTGCTGTTCATTTTTACTCCTGACAATATACAAGAATGATTCAAATGACCCAGATAAAGTACTTATGTTTTTAAATACAAGAGGATAAGCATCTGGTAAAAAATGCAAATACATGGTTCACGAAAATTATTTGCAAAAACACAAAGATTTCGCTTGCGCATGTAGGACGACCTAGGAATTTGAAGCTGTGATAAATGAATAAAAACCTTCTCTTATATGCGAGTAAATAGAGAGGTTGAGGCGCACGTTTTAAACGTGTAAACGTGTACGTGTGACGTTCGGCGCCGCTTTCCCGTAAGCCTAAAAGTTTGACGATGGTGTTTGGAATGTCGAGCGTAATTCCACCGACTATCCAAACACCATTGTCAAACTTTTAGGCTTACGGGAAAGCGGCGCCGAACGTCACACGTACACGTTTACACGTTTAAAACGTGCGCCTCAACCTCTCTAATATGGTATAAGAAACTAGGTGACTGATATTTCTTTCAGTTTGTTCATTAATATTACTAAAAGTTTGTTATATTTTCTTCTCTTTGTGTGTTGACTAAAAACACTCTTGTTCTGGAATGTTAATAGTACAGAACATATACACTGTTCTACAAGAAGACATAGCAGTATCACATTTTCAATTAACTGGGATTTGGATTTTAATAGTAAGAACTAACTACATTATAAACTCAATTGACCCAAAGATCTGTTAAAAATTGAATTTGTATTTAAATAATAATAATAATAATAATAATAATAATAATAATATTATTATTATTTTTTTATTATATGATTGAATTAAAATAATCATTTTTTAAAATAGTGATTTATATTTGTCATGTAATTTTAAATATGTAAAAATAATTTACAGTGCAACATGAATGTATTCCTCAAGCCATTTTGGGAATGGATATCCTTTGTCAAGCAAAATCAGGAATGGGTAAAACAGCTGTTTTTGTTTTGGCTACACTTCAACAATTGGATACTGTAGAAGGACAAGTAAGTAATAATCTAATTAGCAATTATGATTGCTTTTTAGATATTAATATTTATGTAATTTAGATATTATAATAAAAGGTAACTTGAGTATTACAATAATGCTGTATCAATTTAGCAGGACTTTGATGTAAAATAAAAACTGAACAAATTTTAGATTAACAATTAGATATTTTATTTGTTTAGGATAAGGTTTAATATAATTAAATTAAGAGATAATCTGATTCATTTAAAGAATTACAATTCACAACTGTTCATAATGATCAGTGTTCATTTATTTACAGACTAGGAAAAAAACCAAAGTGTTTATGGTAATAAATACTTTGGTTTTTTCTAGTCATTTATATATAGTAAATTTTTATAAAATGATTTGTTCATTTGATGGAACATGTATTTGTGTTTCTTTTTCATTCTTTAATCACTAGATTTCTCTTTGTTACTATAAAGATTTTTTTGTAAAATTCTTTTATATTTTAAAAAGGATTTCTTTGGAAAAGTGATTTAAATTGTTTACATATATATTTTTTTTGCTATAACAAAACATATATTTTACATTTAATGCAGAGAAAAAAAATGCATAACAGTAACATTATACAAAATTAAATATACAGTGATTTCATTGTATAGATTTAATTAATAACTTATTGATTTAAGAGAAAACAAATTGAATATAACTATTATTTTTAATAGTTTTTCTAATTTTTTCATCGAATTTTAATATTTTTTTCAAATTGAAATCTATAACTGAATGAATGATTTTTTGATTTGATTTAATTGGTATGTTTCATAATTAAGCAAATCATTCTTTCAAAAATTAAAATTATTTAGAACTGGGTTTATATATAGTTTACCTTCTGAATTCACTGTTTTTCATTATTATATTAAAAACAACTGTTACAGATGATTACATATTGCTTTAACTGATTATTACATTTGAAAACAATTTACAGTAAAATTTGCAAGGACTTGGATTTTTTGTTAGGATTTTGCGATAATTATGTATAAAAATTGAATAAATTAAATTTTTAAAACTCTTAAATCTTGAACTGCAAGAAATATTCAAGAATAGTCTTGATATTAGGTTGGGGAAAAAGAAATCCATTATTTTGTCACTAGATGGCTGTAGTGATACATATCTCATAAAATATTGATGACACAAGTTCAGACTTGTGCTTATTGGAAAAGTGACATTCTGTACTAAAAAAAATTCTTTTACAATTTTTTGATTGGTCAATTCAGTTGTGAGTTATAGGGTGTAAAAGACGGAAGTTAACAAAGAGAAAATTAGGTATGTTTTACAATTTTGCTTCAATAAAGGCGAAAATGCAAGCCAGGCAGCTGAAATTGTGAATGGTGTTTATGGTCCTGATACTGTCACAGCCAATTATGTGCAATTTTGGTTTCGTCAGTTCCGTTCTGGTAATTTCGATGTTAAAGATGCACCTCGCACAGGTAGGCCCGTTGTCGAAAATGTCAATAAAATCATGGAAATGATAGAAGTAGACTGGCACGTTAGCACTCGTAGCATTGCCCAGGAGCTAAAGATTGACCATAAAACAGTTCTAAACCATCTGAATAAAGCTGGATTCAAAAAGAAGCTTGATGTTTGGGTGCCACATGAATTGACGGAAGAAAACATTATGGATCGAATTTCCATCTGCGAAGCCTTGGCCAAACGGAACGAAATCGACCCATTTCTTAAACGGATGGTGACTGGGGATGAGAAATGGGTTACATATGGCAATATTGTGCGATAACGATCGTGGTCAGTGTGGTGAAGCGGCTCAAACGGTGGCTAAACCAGGACTAACAGCCAGGAAGGTTTTGCTGTGCATTTGGCGGGACTGGAAAGGAATCATCTACTATGAGCTGCTTCCATATGGCCAAACACTAAATTCGGACCTCTACTGTCAACAATTGGACCGTTTGAAGCTAGCGATTGATCAGAAGCAGCCAGAATTGGCTAACAGGAGAGGTGTTGTACTTCTTCACAACAACGCCAGGCCACACACATCTATAGTGACTCGCCAGAAATTCCAGGAGCTTGGTTGGAAAGTTTTGATGCATCCACCTTATAGTCCAGACCTGGCACCAAGCGATTACCATCTTTTTTTATCATTACAAAATTTCCTCGGTGATAAGAAATTGGCATCAAGAGAGGATTGCGAAAATCACTTAGTCAAGTTTTTCGCCAATAGGGAGCAGGGCTTCTAAGAGAGAGGAATTATGAAGTTACCTTTAAAATGGCAACAAATTATAAAACAAAACGGTGCATATTTGATCCAAGTCGAACAACCGAAACCATGTTAAATAAAGACTTGAAATGAACGTAAAAATAATGGATTTCTTTTTCCCCAACCTAATATAATGTTTAATAGAACTTGATTCAGAGAGTTCAGGAGTGAACAAAGCAATACACCTAAGCTTAGGAGAAGAATAATGTAAAGTTTGCTGTAGATGTTTGTTTATTTATTGGTTGAAATTAGAGTTGGATAATCCCAGATCATAAAATTTTCCATAAGGTGAAAAGATAATTTCGGAAAGTCAGAACATCTGAAGTTTGAACTTTGCTTCATATGTGGTGACTGGAAGAAGTCACTAATTATGTTTGTTGTGAGATGTTTAGTAGTTGGAATCCCAAATAGGATTTAAAGAGAGATTTAGTGAACAGTATATCCTAAACTAAACTATGACTGTATAAGTTCAAGAAAACTTGTGATATACTTCCAAAATAGAAACAAAGTTAATTGAAAGAATATTTAAATTGAATTGAATTAATTTTTCCCTAAGATGGAAACTTGTAAAAGCCAGAAAAATGCACTTATTTTAACATAATCTCAAATTTTTCTCTCAAAATATCCTAAGACAGAATCTGTGATATGTGAAAAGAAAGCCGTATATGTTATATCTTTGTTATTAAATTAAATTTACCAACATTTATCTATGGATTTTATACATAGTATAGTTAAATAGTATACAAACAATTGATAATGTTAATTATGAAATTGTTACAAAGATATAATTTAAACCTGAAAGACTGATACACAAACTACTGTTCATATTACAAGGAGCCTAGTAACAAACAACAAAGTTAAATTAAGAACTATTAGCTTTAATAATTTCAAATATGTGTGCATTAAATCTTACAACAAATTTAGATTTAAACAGCTTTTGGTTACATGTTACTGCAATATGTTTTCACTGATAGAAAACAGACATTTTATTTAGAACACATGCACTTTTCAATGGCATAGGTGATTGAATGAATTGTATTTTATTTTATAATCTTATCTTTTATTTTGAGTTAATTCACTGAGTATAACAAATACTACATCTAGATTGAAACTTGGTTAAAAAGGGAAAATTGTTAATTTTTGATGCCATGACCATTTTCTTGTTTTACTCTGCCTAAAGCCTGGCATAAACAAAAAAAGGTCATATGCAAGTGCTTTCATGTGTAAACAAACTTTTACATCATGTGAGTGTTTATTTTTGACTACTGCAATGACTGCCCTAGATTGATCAAGTACATGTGAGTATCTCAAGTCACCAAATGACAATATCCAACAAATTGAATATGCTTTTCATTGAAAGGACTAGTCTTGAATCCACCATTCAATTACAAGCATATTTACTTCAATTTGGAGAGACCAATTTGCTCTGATATCAATCATTTGTGCCAGGCTTAAGACAATTTATAGTGTTGGGTGTAATTCTGGCTTTCACTTTGTCATTTAATATTTTTTACTTTGAAAACTAAAAATTCAGATTTTTAAAATTTCTGTTATTAATATATTAGTAATATTTAATTGTAATCAAAATTTTTCTTTAATATAAATGTATATTGAAATACTTTCAGGTTTCTGTTCTGGTGATGTGCCATACAAGAGAATTGGCTTTTCAGATTTCTAAAGAATATGAACGATTTTCAAAATATATGCCAGGCATTAAAGTTGGAGTATTTTTTGGAGGAATGAATATAGCAAATGATGAAAAGATCCTGAAAGTTAACTGCCCTCATATTGTTGTAGGAACACCTGGTCGTATCCTAGCATTGGTACGAAGCAAAAAATTAAATCTGCGTCATATCAAGCATTTTATTTTAGATGAATGTGACAAAATGCTTGAACAGTTAGGTAAGTTTATAATTATATTTAAAAGTTCAGTCAAATTTACCATATTTTTAATTTAATTTTGAATATTTGTGGAAATGTTTAATCAAGGCCACTTGATCGCTTCGCTAGTAAGGCCGTCCGCCGTAAGGAAAATTGCCGTATTCACACTGTTTCCATTTTTTGGCGCTAGTTATCGGTGAGAATCGTCTGTTGAGTAAATTGGTCGTTTTGTACTTTTGTGTGCGAGTATAGCTATTTTATGAAATTGTGATAATTACATATAGTTATAGTTGTATATATTCGTGAGTTATATACGGTTGACGGGATTTCTCTTCAACAATTACAAGGAGCCTAGTAACAAACAACAAAGTTAAATTAAGAACTATTAGCTTTAATAATTTCAAATATGTGCATTAAATCTTACAACAAATTTAGATTTAAACAGCTTTTGGTTACATGTTACTGCAATATGTTTTCACTGATAGAAAACAGACATTTTATTTAGAACACATGCACTTTTCAATGGCATAGGTGATTGAATGAATTGTATTTTATTTTATAATCTTATCTTTTATTTTGAGTTAATTCACTGAGTATAACAAATACTACATCTAGATTGAAACTTGGTTAAAAAGGGAAAATTGTTAATTTTTGATGCCATGACCATTTTCTTGTTTTACTCTGCCTAAAGCCTGGCATAAACAAAAAAAGGTCATATGCAAGTGCTTTCATGTGTAAACAAACTTTTACATCATGTGAGTGTTTATTTTTGACTACTGCAATGACTGCCCTAGATTGATCAAGTACATGTGAGTATCTCAAGTCACCAAATGACAATATCCAACAAATTGAATATGCTTTTCATTGAAAGGACTAGTCTTGAATCCACCATTCAATTACAAGCATATTTACTTCAATTTGGAGAGACCAATTTGCTCTGATATCAATCATTTGTGCCAGGCTTAAGACAATTTATAGTGTTGGGTGTAATTCTGGCTTTCACTTTGTCATTTAATATTTTTTACTTTGAAAACTAAAAATTCAGATTTTTAAAATTTCTGTTATTAATATATTAGTAATATTTAATTGTAATCAAAATTTTTCTTTAATATAAATGTATATTGAAATACTTTCAGGTTTCTGTTCTGGTGATGTGCCATACAAGAGAATTGGCTTTTCAGATTTCTAAAGAATATGAACGATTTTCAAAATATATGCCAGGCATTAAAGTTGGAGTATTTTTTGGAGGAATGAATATAGCAAATGATGAAAAGATCCTGAAAGTTAACTGCCCTCATATTGTTGTAGGAACACCTGGTCGTATCCTAGCATTGGTACGAAGCAAAAAATTAAATCTGCGTCATATCAAGCATTTTATTTTAGATGAATGTGACAAAATGCTTGAACAGTTAGGTAAGTTTATAATTATATTTAAAAGTTCAGTCAAATTTACCATATTTTTAATTTAATTTTGAATATTTGTGGAAATGTTTAATCAAGGCCACTTGATCGCTTCGCTAGTAAGGCCGTCCGCCGTAAGGAAAATTGCCGTATTCACACTGTTTCCATTTTTTGGCGCTAGTTATCGGTGAGAATCGTCTATTGAGTAAATTGGTCGTTTTGTACTTTTGTGTGCGAGTATAGCTATTTTATGAAATTGTGATAATTACATATAGTTATAGTTGTATATATTCGTGAGTTATATACGGTTGACGGGATTTCTCTTCAACAGCAGCTTGGTATATAGATATAAATACATTCATTGTGTGGTCAAACTGTGGAAAAAGTTCTCAGACTGCATCATAAGCCCATTTCTAGAAAAATATTAAAAGTCTAATGTTGTCTAATTCATATTGTAAATTTCTGATGAGGAGGAAGCTAAGTACATTTCTGGTCTTTGACTGAATTTTACAAACTGTAAAATTCAGTCAAAAACAGTGTACACTTTATTCAATAAATTAATTTTTCTTATGTAATAAGCTTTTGCTTTTTCTATAAAGAATTTTATTTATATTAGAGATGTAAACTGAAGCAATGTTACTTTTACCATAGTTATACTTTTAATTTCAACTTTAAAACAATATATGTTGCTTTTGTTCACATTTCTGTGTACTTCTCCAATATTAATTATAATAAGTTCGTAAATATGGTGATATTGAAGGTAACTTCAATATCACATATTTCCGTGCATATTTTTCGAAATTTTTTTACTAACTAAAAACTTTGCTTATTTTTGCAAAAAAAAAAGCAAATTTTTTCGAAAGGTTATATCGGTATTTATTCTTACAGTCTTGATTAACAAAAGTAATAATTTTATAACAGATTTAATACACAACATTTTAATAATTATCATATATGGTCCGAAAATGTGAAAATTTTTATAGTAGACAGTGCATACTGTAGGTAACCTAGTTTTGCTAATTTTGCATACTTTTCGAGTAAAAAAAAAATTTACATTAACGATTAACTACTGGTATCTTTAAGAATCGAAAAGAGATGATTAAATAGTATTAATGTGAAAAAGTTTGTATTTTCCATGCCAATAATACTCAGTTATTATTTCTTCCTAAAAACGTCTTATGAAAATAAAGTGAAAAATACTGTTATTATTATTTCGCTTTTTTCACAAACTAGGGAACATCGTTTGCAGCAGCTCATTTCTTGATTGTCAAAAGTTTTCAACCTGCTTTAATGAGAAAAATATTTAAATGCAGCGACGTCTCCAAACTCCTCTATACTCTCCACCTGAATCACTGACGATGGATGTCACCGATCGTCAGCGCCACAAGCGGAGAAAATATTAACTAGCGTCTATACGCTCGGTCCCATAGAGAGAGATAGTTGGCGGACGGCCTTACTAGCGAAGCGATCAAGTGGCCTTGGTTTAATAGAGAGTTTTAGCAATTAATCATAGTCTGTTAAATTTATATATTAAACATTTCTGCTTTTAATTAGAGTACACTCCCCTATAACATGGTAGATACGTTCTGTGTTTTGTGAAATTCATGTTGTACGAGTCCTTAACCTATTCGATGTTGAAATTTTTATTTGTTGCCTGTGACACCATGTTGAATTTTCGTCAATGTTAAGCCTAACAAATTTTTTTAAAATAATAATTGTGGCTATTGTGTCGTTAAAATTTTTTTTGTACAAACAAAATAAATAAATATATTGAAAAATATAAAAATTATATTTTGAAAGTTTATTTTAATATAAAAATTATGATGCATAGTGACATCTAGTGTCAAAAACATACCGATACTGTAATGAGATATATCAGGTTTAGCCTGGCAGGTCAAAGGTCACCACCCTGATATATGTCAGGAATAACACAGGCTAGGTTAAATCTAATGTAATTTTGTTTGCTTATTTTTCTGGTTCGTATTCAAACAATATTCTGTCTTTTTATTTTATATAAAAGTTTATCTAATTTATAAATCCAAGAAAATTACAAATTTTAAATATTTTTTTTTATTTAAAAAAACTTTTTCAGATATGAGACGTGATGTACAAGAAATATTCAGAAATACACCACATGAAAAGCAAGTGATGATGTTCAGTGCTACACTCAGCAAGGAGATTCGTCCAGTCTGCAAGAAGTTTATGCAAGACGTAATTATTTCTACCTTCCTATATCATCATATCCTGTTGAATATCAACATTTATCAGAAATATAGTCAGGCTAGCTTTTGGTGGATTCTTTTTGTGGAAAGATGTTTTTGGTTAGGTTTCATCTTTTATGTTAGGTTATGGTAGAAACAAGAAGAAAAGCTTAGTTTTGTCAGGATTAGAAATTCTTAGAAGAAACTTCTCTCACATGAGTGAAAATAATTGGCTAATATTTAATTTTTGTTTTTATGGAAATTCAATGTCTCAGTTCACTTGGTTTGCATTGATTCAGTTGGTTCTTCTCTGGTTACTTTCATTCCTCCAAACAAGACCTATCTGTTCTCTTTTTTCGAAAATTTCTTTTTGTCGAATTTTTCCATTTGTTGACTATTCATTCATCGACTGCAAGACTCAATGAATCCAGTCCAACGCACCATGGTTTGACCTATCCTGATTCCAATCAACTGGTTGTCCAGAAATTACCTGGAATGGACTCCGGCCTTCATTGGAGAGGAATAGATTGAACCTGGCCAGAAATCGTAGCCAAATTCATATGCTTCAGTTCACAGTCATAATTCGTAGTATCCTTTTTTTTTATTTCAATTTGATAAATTTAAAATTATTAACAATGATTGCACAGAAATTAAAACAAGATTTAAGGATCAAATGCACATAAAATTATAAATAATAATAGTTTATTGTGGATATATATACTGTATATATTGATCATTGAATCTAATTAAACTAAATAAAATCTTGGTAATTTCTGTGCAAAAGTACAATTAATTTTACAACAAAATTTTAGTTAAAAATTTAATTTCAAATAGATACTACAAGAAAGAATTTACCATTTAAAAATTTTTAATGTTCAAAAATGAATTGATTTTTAATTCTTTAAACTTTAAATATACTTCTATTAATACTATACTATAATAAAATTATGATTATTTATTGTATATTTGTAATATGTAGTATGGCACAAAATCATGACTTACATTGAAAGACTGTAGGATTTATAATGTTTTTATTAATTAAAAATCAAATTTTGATAGTTTCATCTAAAATACAGTTAGTTTTTATTGACTTTAAATTAGCATGAATTCATTTTTCTATTTATATGAAAAAGTAAGAAAGCATTTGTGTAATTTTATTAAGAGTTGCTTTTATTGAAATCATGTAAAATATAAAATAAAATTTAAAAATTTGAATAAAATGACTTACAGAAAAAACTATAATTATCAGAATTGAGTTAGAAATTCTACCAAAATTTCACATTACTTACAATAGTTTTTCATTGACACTGTATTAATTGTTTTAATATGATTTATTAATTTTTTAAAAATATAATTCATTAGTAGAAAGCTTTCAAAGTTTAAAACAAAAATCAAATTTATCTTTTGATAAGATTGTTTGAAACTATATGAATAATTTTTTAAATAGACAGGTAGAAAATAAAATAAAAATTATTTTGTGCTGTACTAATTATAATTTGTTCTAAATATAACCTTAGAGTAATTTTTTAGTGAAATTGTATAATTTCAGTTTAAAATAAGATGCACAGGAGCTTTGCTTTAATGTTTGAAAAAAAATCTAGGAAAGATATATCAAAGATCACAGGATAATATTGGGCTATCAGAGTTAATTTAATAATAATAATATAATGTACTTGTAAAGTTGAAGTTTCTAAAAAAAATTCAAATGATTGAAATAAATGAATATTTGTGATAAAAGCAAAAATAATTCTATAGAATATATCACAGTAAAGTCATACAGTTCAGTTTGGCAAAACTATTATACAGAGTTGACAAATTAATGATTGCTTATATTTGTTCTTACTATGATTACTTGGCCTATTTTGCTTAAGATGTGTTTTCAGCTTATATCCAGTATATAAAGTAGTTTAATATGAATTAAGAACAAAAAAATAGTTAAAATAATATTGTATTGCCATATATCTTTATTATCATAACACTGAGAAGATAAATTTTATTTAATTAAATTAATAAATGGTAAATTTCCATCATTTCTGTTTAGTGAATTTAAATTTAGATATCTAATACATCTACAAGCATGTTTATATAATTTTATGGATATACAGAGTGGCCAAAAAATTAGAGACATCCCTTATTTGAAAGTAAATCAGTTCAACAGTGATGTAGAGTGATGTAACAACACATAGTTGCTTATATAAGGTATGCTCAGCTTCAGACAATGTAATTATCATGGAAGTTAATGTCAAAATGGGTAAGACAAAAGATTTAATGACTTTGAATGAGGGATGTTCATCGGTGCAAGAAGAGCTGATGTCAGCATCTCTGAAACAATGACTCTTTTAGGATTTTCTTGCCCAACAGTATCTCAGGTGTTTAGAGAGTGGCAGTTGAGAAAAAAAAACTTCAAGCAATAAGGACAATTCTGGTCAAAAAAAGCTGGTGAACGAGAGAGGTGAAAGGTGATTAGCATGCATAGTCTGCAGCAACAGAAGGGCAACAACATGACAAATTACGGCTGAATTCAATGCAGGTACTTCACAAAGCATATCCCAACAAAACACTTTGCAAAGGATGGGCTTTAGCAGCAGGAGACCATCAAGAGTGCCTTTGGTATCACAAAAAAATAAGAAAAGGTGCCTGTTGTGGACCCTGAAACAATGAAATTGGTCACTTGAGGACTGGAAAAAAGTAGCCTGGTCCAATGAATCTCGTTTCCTGCTGTATCGTGCAGATGGCAGGATCAGAATATGGCACAAATAGCACAAATTCATGGACCCCTCCTGCCAATTGACATCTCTTCAGGCTGGTGGTGGTGGTGGAATTATGGTGTGGGGAATGTTTTCTTGGCGTAAACTGAGTCTCTTGATGACCCAGTTTACGCCAGGAAAACATTCCCCACACCATAATTCCACCACCACCAGCTGCACCACTGTAAACTGGGTCATCAAGAGACCCAGTTTATGGGTATTTGTGGACAAATCTTTGAATAGAACAGCTTACCTCTACATTGTTGCTGATCACATACACTCGTTTATGGCTGTAATGTTCCCTGATGGAGATGGTCACTTTCAGCATGACAATGCACCTTGTCACCGTGCTCAATTGGTCTCAAATTGGTTTGAGGAACATCAATTTGTCTCAAGCCAATTTGAGACAAATTGAGCATAGTTTCAACCATGGCCAGCTCAGTCCCCTGACAGAGAATTTGTGGGACAAAGTCAAAAGATCACTTCAAAGCTTGGAAACACCACTATCCAATCTGACCCAATTTAGAGCTGCCATTATGTTAGCATGGGCCTATTTTCCTCAGCAACTTGTTGAGTCCATGCCAAGAAGAATATCGGCTGTGGTCAGAGTTAAAGGTGGACCAACTCGTTATTAGAAGGTGTCTCTAATTTTTTGGCCACTCAGTGTATAGATGAGTAATTCTCAATTTATTTTATCATGCAGAACTCAAAATCACAGAACATACTGAAGAACTCCTATCTGTCCATACTCTATCTTCACCAAAATTGAACTACAAGTTTTTGGTACCTTAACCTAAAAAATGTATGCTTCTTTAGCAGATGAAAAATAAGAAATAGAATGAAATACCATTAATTATTTGTTCTAAAAAGCTTCTGGATTGAAGCAGTGATGGATTTTCTGCACACCATTTATGGCTGGCTAATAAATGTTGAATGTCATGTACAGATTTAGTGACAAATTTTTTGCCATTATACATTTTAGTCTTGAACCCCCATAAAATTTCTTCAGGAAACCTCAGGATTCTGCATAACAAAATTTGAGAAATGCTGATCTAGGTAATATTATCATCTTTTGAAATACTTTTTATATATTTTTTCCATTAGTTTTGCATCCAAGTATAAAAATGTTGTGTATCAAATAGTTTAGAAAAATATATTGTTTGTAAGATTGCACTTCACAAAAATTAGAATTGTTTGTTTAAATCAATTTTTTATGCCCAGTAATATTCCTTATGCTGTGATTTTTAATACATCTTTTAGGATGACTAATAGCTGCTTGCATTGCAGTGGAGCTTCAGTGTTTTTAATAATTTTTTTATTGATTTTTGTATTTATGATTTATTAATCAAACTATTAATTTATTAGCCAATGGAAGTATATGTAGATGATGAAGCAAAATTAACTTTGCATGGTTTACAACAATATTATGTGAAATTGAAGGACAACGAAAAAAATCGCAAATTGTTCGAGCTTTTGGATGTTTTGGAGTTCAACCAGGTTTGTATTAACAGTTATAATTCTTTTTTGGAGTTTTAACAATATGTTGTTACAGTTTCCATGCATACATATCAGTCCAAGAAAACCAAAATATATATTGTAGCATCAAACTTTGCTGATCTGAATTTTTGCATGAGCACAATTAAAATTATTGAAATCAAGAGAAAAGAATTTCTGTTGTGTAGTAAAGAATGTGCTTATTTTAAACAATAATCAATCAATACTTCACTCACTCTAGAAATTAGAAACTTGCATTATTTGAAGTAGTTTCTTATAGTACTGTTAAGCAGAACTGTTTAAATTAAAATACTGCTTATTAAGAACATCATATTAGAAAATTATGGATATTTTAATCCAAGTATTTTACACATTGGAACCCTCTATGTTGTAGGTATGTAGATGCGAAGTGTTTTATGGAATTCTTTTAGACAAAATTTCTATGCAGTCTTCATTGTTGATAGCAGTACAAAACATTTCTTTAAAATTCTTAATTGGCATTTTAAGCAAAAACCTTGCATTCTTCATATGAGTGAATGTGTCTTATTCCCATAATAGGTATGAATATTAAGGAATCTCATATATTTTTAACATTTTTACTTTTTAGATTATTTAAGTATAATGTAATATAGCTGATTATTGAAATTCAAATTTTTGAATGGCATTGCATTTTCCAGTGGAAATTGCTTGCTTATGTCACAAGAACTAGTATTGCAGTTACGCATTAATCTCAGTGATGAACTTACAATTAAAAATTAAATACTATTTTTTATTTTTGCAAAATCTACTGTGAATCAATTTTTTTTCCTTTTAAAAAAAATTATTTGTGTAGATGAAGAATAACTTTCTGAAATTACCCTACATATTTTAATTAATTCAGTTTGGTATGGTAACAAATCATCTTGTGTGTGTTTTAGTTACACTAGTGAATACTAACTGTATTAATTTAATTTCAAACTAGGTTGCTGTGAAATAAATAACTTCTCAACAAGTATAGGACAATTTTTATTTTCAAGCATATTATATCATGAATGCAATTTCTTTTGGTATTTACTATACTAGCATGCTAGTACCCAAGTGGATAAATTCATTGAACATTTAGTGCTCAGTTTGTACCTGATCAATGGGTTGCCCTTGTGGCATTTTCTGGGTTTTCTTTATATGTGTAACATCTAAATTGGGGGCTACTTTTCCATAAAATCCTCCTGTGAGGTAGCATTTTGGCAAATTGTCCTCACGCTACTTTACTTTATTCGATATAATAAATGGCCTAATGTTTTCAATGTTCAAATTTTTTATTTAAAATATATGGTTTTTGTTGATACAGTAAGACCTTGCTTAACACTGATTTGATATAACACCGTCTGCTCGAAGCCTTAAAAAAAGCTCAAAATTTACGCTGATTTAAATTATTGTAGCATTTTATTGATTTGTACATAAAACGATTATTTATGAACACGAACCAATCAGAAAAAGGTGTACTTTCTTGAAATCTGTGTTTGTTTTGTGCAATTTTGGAAAAAATATATCATTGATGCCATAGGCAATATCAGCTTTGCTTGGCAAGAATTAACTGATAAATGCACAAACGAAGTGTGGAAGAAGTTATGGCTGAAGGTATTCAAGAATTCTCAACGAGAAGAGCTTATCACTGTGTTGTTAGGTTGATCAAACTCAACCTAATCGATGCAGCAGGACTAGGAGATGTAGACAAACAGGATATTGAGGAGTTACTGCAGGTTTCTGGTGAGAGTCTTATCGACGACAACTTTCAAGAACTGGCAGAACAAGGAATCCATAAAGAAATGGAAAACAGTGATTCTGAAAATGAAGAACCCAAAAATTTCTCTACAGATTTTCTTAGTAAATGTTTGGTAACGATAACTGAAATTGTTGATCAAATTGTAGCGAATGATCCAGATTTTGAAAGGAGTGCAAAAGCAAAACTAGCTATCGGCATTTGCTTAAGAAAAGAAAAAAGCAACAAATGAAACTTTACGACTTTGTCTCAAAAAAAAAAAAGAGTTTCAGAAAAGTCAGGACCTTTGTCACAAAAAATGAACGAATTAATATATTATTATACATTTCTATATGCATATGTTTATGTGTTATTTAACATATATTATTATACAAATTAATATAAAAATAACTTAAAGTAAAATTTTTTATTTTCGGTTGCATTTTCCCTTATCTCTACTCCCATGTTTAAATGACCTCATTTAGCACACTGTCATCTAGGAATGCGTTAAGTGAGGCCTTACTGTGTATGGTGGAAGACATGAAAAGCAATAACCTTCAGTTTAAATTTTGAAAGTTCATAACCATTTGAAATTGACATTTCAACATTTTTTTAAAAAAAGATGAATAAACAAAACTCAACCAATCTTTATGCTTTATGGTTTTTTTAAAATAAAAAAAAGATTGGTTGAATTTTGTTTTAGACATTAATTGAAAGATGGGTAAGTAAAATAAACATAACAACAACAACATGTACTAGAAGTGGTTTGTGAGATTTTTTCCCCTAAGACACACCATGCTTGGGCTGGAGATATCTATTTTTGAAGCACATGATAACGTAATAAAAATGGATCATGTACAGGTACAATGATGTCAAATGCAAACAATCATGGAGCTGTATAGTGAACTATTTCAAGCAGGGTTTCACAAAATAAGATCATGACTCTCAATTTAGTGGAACTGGCAGAGTTATGCTCTATGGACTGCATCCAAAGAATAGAACAGTCAGTTCAAGTGTGTACTGTGGCCAGTTTTCCATGAGATGTGTCTGGAATTGGTGAACTGCAGGATCATCATCATCCATCACAACACCAGACCTCATTAAACTTGGCAAACATGGCAAAAATTATTGGAGCTGTGCTTGGAAGATTTTTGCACAAACTCCATATTCACCAGGTATTGTTCTCTCTCTCTGATTACCACCTCTCTAATTTGCTCTTTTCAGAATTTTTTTTTTTTTATGAATAGCACTTTGTTTTTGAGGAAGGCTTCAAACAGCATTTGAAACAGTTCTTTTGTTTTTTGCTATGAAAACAGTAAGTTCTTTGAACAAGGAATTATGGAGCTCAAAACAGATGCAAAAGATTTTAATCAAAACAGCCTATACATTATTGAATAAAGTTATTGCTTTCTCTGAAAAAAATTGTCTTTAATTTACATGTTCATATTGACTTTCTGGCTAACCCTATAGAAAGTTTACTGGTTTATAGTTACTGGATTCAAATGAAAAAATTGAAGATAGAAAACATTGTAAGAATTGTTTTTTAGTGTTGTTTTAAATATATTTTTGTGAATAAGAACTAGGGACAATACCTTGTTTTCGTTGATTTCGGTTATGGTCAGTTTCAGTTTTCATAAAAATTTTTTGCAGAAAATATGTCTTGGTTTTGTCAGCATGCCCATGTGATCTTGCTGCTAATTTTTCAAAAACAAAGGGCAACCTACACGTTTTCCTAGTCGGTGTGGCGTTATTTCTTGTATGAGCATTACCCCATGTGTCTAGCCAAACAATTCCATTACTTTCCTTTCTTTTTAGCTCCATCGTGGAACCAAAGAAAGTTTCCAGAGCCAGCAGCCCTTCGAATTCCATGTTAAATGCTATATTAATGTTCATTTATTCTTTACATTAGTTTTTTATATTAATTACTTATTGTTTTTAGTATTAAACACAATATTTATGCTCTATAAAATCTGTTTTTAGTATGTATTTTGGAGTGTCTAGAATGAATTAATTTGGTTTACATTGATTCATATGGAAATAATTGCCTCAGTTTTTGTTAGTTTTGGATTTCGTCGATTGTTTTTGAACAGATTATCGACAAAAACCGAGGTATCGCTGTGATTAGATATCAGTGGATGCATATATTTTGTGATTAAATTGGACTAATGAACTAATTGTAAACTCATTCAAAATTTGAAGGGCGTGTGAGATAAAAATAATGGCATTATATGTCACAGATACATTAATAGATACATTATTTTATAGTTTTGTTAGTAACAAAATTAAATTTTTAAGAATCAGTCTAGTGATTTTGCTTAATTGTAAGTGTACAGTTTGATCACTAAAACAATTAAAAATTAATTCATCAGGCATATACTCAATGGAATCAAATACGTATTGACATTCTGCTTTAAACAAACTATTATTTTTCTGATTTAATATTAATATATTCATTTTTTGTATTTTCATAAAATAATATTGCAGGTGGTGATATTTGTTCGTACTGTTCAAAGATGTATGGCCCTTGCTCAGTTGCTTGTAGAACAGAATTTTCCTGCAATAGCAATTCATAGAGCTATGACTCAAGAAGAGAGGTAATTTATATGATTATCATTTAACCAAAACAAACATTTTAATAAAATTATTTATGTATGCAAGATGATGTATGTGTGCATATATATGGTGTGCATGCATGTGCAAGCACAGATTTAAATTTTAATGTTAAATACATTTGAGTATTGCAAATAACTTGAGTATCTGATATATATTGAATGGAACAACTTTTTTAAAAAGATTGTCTCACTGATGTTACTATTAAATGGCTAAACAATTAAATTGTGCTTCAAATATGATCTTTAATTGATATAAAGATGATGATTTTTTTAATTAAGAATTTTTGTTGGATAAAAATTAATTTCAAATGTCATATTTATAAATATAATTGATAAAATTGTTCTATTTTAAAATCATTTGTAAAAGCTCTTAATGCATTTGGGAAAATGTAGTAATTTGTACTTTATTAAATTTGTTATTAACAGATAAGTTAGACAGTTAAGTTTTCCTGAAATAATTCATAGACAAAATTTTATAGACAGAAATTACAATTATTTATATAGATAATCAATTTAATATTGAGATAGTAGCAAATATTTATTATCTTAAGCATTAATTAATTTGTATTACACTTGTTTGTTTTATAGATTATCTCGCTATCAACAATTTAAAGACTTTCATAAACGAATTCTAGTTGCTACAAACCTGTTTGGAAGAGGAATGGATATTGAAAGAGTGAATATTGTCTTTAATTATGATATGCCAGAAGATTCAGATACCTATCTTCATAGGGTAAGTAGATTTTACAGCATTAATGTTAGGGTAGCTTTTAACAGTGCATCATTATGTATTAAAAAATATATATATTAAAATACATTAACATGGCAGTTCATATAACTACATTTGTTGTCATTAAATTACTTCACTATTGATTGATGCTCACAAATAAGTTAGTAGTTTAAGAAAAATTTTAGGTAATTTCTGCATTCAAGGTTTATTATTTTCAATTATTACTTATTATAAAATTAACTTTAATTAAGACTCAATAAAATCTGATTTTTAAAATGTTAAAATAGTTTATTATTTGGAACATTCAACATGAGAAAAATTTTGAGATAATCTGGAAGAAAAGGATTGTAAAGATCTACATCAGTGTTTTTCAACGGAGGCGATATCGCCCCCATGTGGGCGTTTTTCCATGTTCAGGGGGCAATTAGTAACAATTTACATTTTGGGGGCGAAAAAACAATTTTCTGGGCAATTATAGTAAAACATTATATTAAGAATAATTAGATATTTTATTCGTTATATCGTACAATAATTAAACAAATAACATTATGTAGTCACTAGTCTATCGATGCAGTACGAATCTTGCATTAGCCTTATCCCTCGGCATTGTAATTTTGTAGTGAAGGGGGCGACGATTCATTAGAGGTTGAGAAACACTGATCTACACTGATCTGTATGAAATTACTTATGATGATGAAAATTTAATAATTTTGGTTTACAAAATATTGCAATTCTGTTTTTATAATTAAATGAACAGAATTCATTTTAGAGATGGGTCCTTATCACTTTATATAAGGTATTTTTTTCAAAAATGTTCTCTTTTGAGATTCACATTCAAAAATTTGTATGAAAAAGTTACATCTTATAAGTAGTTACTTTGTTTCTTATTTGATATATTTTTGAATTAATTTATAAATTATGTTAACTTGATTTAAAAATAGTTTATTTGGTTCTTTTTAACCAATAAAGATTATTGTACCAAATACAAAATGCAAATGATTTTTTACATTCTTCAGATAGACTTGATATTTTTTACACAATTTTCAATTGCTAAACTTTTATCATAAAGTATCATATGAAATTAATGGCCAAGAATCAGTACAGCTTTTCTTTTTAATAAAAAGAACATTTTTATTAAAAAATAATAAGTACATTTTTTTTCTTTTTAATAATTATACCACTCAAAAAAAAAAGAGATAATATTTAACTGACATTTTATAACTCAATTTTATTTCTGATGATACTGAAATTTATTCAAATAGTTAATTTTTAACATATAGTAGAACTAAATGTTTGTCATTTTGCTGCTTTGGCTGTCTGTCAACATAATTATATAAAATGTTAGCCAAATCAATTATCGAAATTTTTAATTGTAAAACATTAAGGGGTATCTGAAAATGAACCATTAAGGACCAAAAGCATTAGTGTGTGTAAACTTTATGAACAAGGAATGTTCTAATAAAGAAGAGTCCTTTGTTACTTTTCCAGCTGTTATATATAACAGGAAAATATAGCAGTGGGTCAAAATCTGACCCTCCCAAGATTTTTATGTTTTTGGACTCAAAATCTTGAAATAACCATAAATGCAAAAAATTGGAGTTTTTTTCTGTATGTATTGATGCTTAGGGGGGACATGATTTTGTAGCTTTAATATCTCCTGTGCTTTTTTGTTAAATTTCTGAAGGTATGCAGGTAGGTTTGTGTATTGGGGATTGATGCTCTTAAATTTTTGGGGTTAAAGGTCAAGGGGTGAGAAGATAGATGTAGTCAAATGTCAGGTGGTGTCAGACCTAATGAAGATTTTATTAGCATTTAGTTTTTTTCTATAAAACTCATCTTTATCATCAAAATTAAGCTTTTTGCCCTTTTATAATAATAATAATACTGTAATAATAATAATAATAATAATAGTTTAAAAATAAAATCCTGGAACAGATGTGGTACATGCAATTTTAAATGTTTTTGCCAGGAAACTTACATAAATTGTTGCTGGGTTTTTTTAAATGCATATGCTAAATTTAAAATTGAATGTATGAAACAATTTTTTTAGGTTGCCCGTGCTGGTCGATTTGGCACAAAAGGTTTGGCAATTACTTTTGTATCAGACGAGAGTGATGCAAAAATTCTCAATGAAGTACAAGATCGTTTTGATGTCAATATATCTGAACTCCCTGACGAAATTGATATTTCATCATACAGTAAGTAATTATTTTTTTAAATTAAAAAAGATTACATTGAGTATTTAATTGTTTTGTGTCTCTTACAGTTGAAGGACGTTAACTCTTGAAGACATTTGAGTACCTTTCATCTATCATTGCTCATTTTTATTTTAAACTTAGAATTTGTGTACATTAATAGTATGTAATAAAATATAATTCAAACATTTTCTTATTGAAATTGAAATGTTCTTATTTTTTAAGATGTAGTCTTTTATTTAAAATATTCATTGTAATCAATGTATAATAAAGAAAACTTTATTATAAAATTTTTCTTAATATGAAACAATGATTTGAAAAAATATTTAAAAGTTAAAATATTAAATAACAGCTTTCCAAATATGACAAACAAAATATCATTTTTAATGTTAATTATCTGAAACACTAGGGATATTCAAGCTTTAATCATTATTCCATGAAATCTCTCTTTGGTATGCATGCTCACTCTCCTGCTAATAAACAAAAATGTTATAATAATGCTGAAAAATGCAGACATTTTCGTACCTCAGATAATTCAGGCAATGCAATGTTCTCAACCTGAGTCTGTGGATTCTCTGGAGTCTCCAAATGAGTGTAATAAAGAAATGCACAAGTTTAAATAACCAAGTACAGCTGTCCCTTGATAATCCGACAGGTATGGGACCAAAGGAGTGTCGGATTACCAAAAGTGTCTGGATTACTGAAAGTGATTACATATTTAGCATTGTTTTGCTAGCAGTAGCCTACAATATTCCCTACTCCAACTGTTCGAACAGAACTGCTCGCGGAAAACACGAAATGTGTGTCATCATGTAAGAATTGGGTGGGGAGATTCACGTCACGACATGCTTCTGTGCAAGCAACACGTAACAGGGTCGGATACCTTGATGGGAGGTGCGTCGGATTACAAAACGTCGGACTATCAAGGGACAGCTGTGTAAAATTTTCAGAGAATCTTGTTTTAAAACATATATATATATATATAATTCTACTCTAGAAATCTGCCAGATGATGAATTTTGAGAAACACTGGGGTGTTGCATGTCCTCGTGGTAGTTTGTACCCAAAGACATGATGTTGACAGATCTCATTAATTGCCCATTTCTTACTACAAACTAATGTGTTTCGATACTTGTCTGTTAAATTTCGCAAATTGCATCATGTGTTGAGCTCTCACGTCGCCTATGAAATGAGTTCAGTGGATGACCAAATGAATTAAATAAAACTCACATCTACCAAAGTTTAAACATTATATATAAAAAATGTTTAGAAACGATCAGAATAATCATTTTTTAAGAAATTAAACATACCATGCAGTGTTTATATTGCACCCTAATATGCAAATTAGTCTTCGATTTTTGAAATTTCGTTTGAAATGCATGTTTTTCATCTTCAGGAATATGATATACACTTTGAAAGCTTTTGCAAGAAAGATACAATGAAGTTATATTTAGAATGGAAAACTCCAAAATGTGAGCTAACAAAATGATTTCAGGTGTATTGTATGAACGAATACAAGGAAAATAAGTGTTGGGCTGCAATTTTCAAATTGCAGACCTATACATTCTCTGTCCGTCCTTCGTTAATCTCGTAGATGAAAATTGAGATAAAGATACAGAAAGCTTAGGACCGGAGATCCCGATTAATTTTTTACCTGTACAGTACATGATTACATAAATAAAAATTGAATTTCTCTACGAGATCTAATCACATTAGAGTCGAGTTATATTTTGACAATTGTGGATGGCATGATTCGTGATGATTCCCTCAGCATAATACATGTACTTTCTTGTACAATGTCCAGATAATCTTTAAATACAACGAAAAATCTACTAGAATCAGTCTAAAACTATAGACAAAAGGTCAGAGGACCCCAAACCAATTTTTTCTAAAAGTATTTCCCCTGAAGAAAAATAAAGTGAGCACTGTATTTGGGGTCGCATAAAACTATAACACGCCACTGTCTCAAACAATAATTTATCATCATGGACATAATTATGAACAATTAATTGAAACGGTTTATTATTCTAGTAACGTGTTACATAATAAAATATATGAAATTTTGTTTATATGCAAAATAATTTCGTATTACGTAAAAAAATATTTATATTCTTCCTCCTCTTGTCGTCGTGCTGTTTCTGCTTTAACTTTGGCTTTGGTTTTTCTTACTAGTGTGAGTGGTTCGGAACGATACATTGGTTTGCGAATGAATTTCCTTTCTTTAGCTAATTCTGCCCTTTCCAAAGCTTTGTTAATTCTTTCCTCTTGTTGCTTCCTTTTTTCTTCGTTCTCCTTTTCTCGTTCTAATCTCCTCCTCTGTTTTTGTTTCATTCGATAGATTTTATTCAGACGTTTGGCAGGTAATAATGTCAAATTGTGTATTAGTTGCTCTAAATAAGCTTCTATACTGGTCAGCATAATTTGTGAATTTACATTTCCTTCGCTAAATTCTTCGCTGCAGCATCTATACACTTCAGCAATCTTCGTTTGCAGAAGTTTTGACTCGTCATCCTCTTTTTCGAAAGCATATTTATTTATTAACTGTTGAAATTTCTCAGATTTTTGGGTCTGCTCTTCTTCACTTTTCTGTAATAAATGAATTTCTTTTTTTAATGTTTCTATCTCTCTGGATAATTTTTCTTGGTAGGTAAAGAAAGAAATTTTTGTTTCTTCTAATATTTCACGGGAGTCCAAATTGTATTGAATGAAAGAAAGGCATTTGTTTTTATATTCTTGCAATCTTAATGTCACTTCTGCGGGATCTTCAAAGTGAATTTGAAAATTGTCCTCGTCGTCTTGATCTGTGAAAATCGATTTGTTTGGGTCGATGTCTTTCAATTTTTTAGACATTTCCTTTTGTTTCCAATGATTACTTGGTGCTAAGGAGTCTAATAAATTGCGAAAAATTCTCAGTTTCTTCAATATGGTTTCCTGTTTAGATACAGAATTTTGTAAGGAGATTTTTTGAGCAGTTAGTATCTTAATTTCTTCATTTAATTTCAGACTCTGTTCGGAACATTCGTTAGCTGCTTTAATGGCATCTGAACAAGCGGTATCGCTTTTCTTAATCGTGTCGATAAATTCGGTAGCTTTATTTTCTAGATTTTCTTCTTGTTTTGACATTTTCTCTTCTCTTTCCAATTTTAATTGATTTAGTCTTTTGATTTCTTCTGATTTCTGTAGCAAAATAAATTCGCATAAATTTAATTTCTTCATTTTTTCCAAATATTCTTGTCCAGATTCATGTTTTATCGGTTCTCGAGTAATTTCGTATATTACTGATTTAGGTAAATTTCCATATTTTTTAGATCTGCTTACATAAAGCTCTTTGTCTCCAATGGCTTCTTCTCGAAATTTTCTTATGGAAGTCGTTCTCATTCTCATGAAATGAGCAATTGTACCAATCTGGTAATGGTAGTTTGTGTTCATCATATTCTGATAATTCTCTTTCCACAGTTCCATTTTATCTACAGGTGCCTTAACATGTTCATTGGGAGAGTAATCGTTCATTAGAGAATAAGTTTTATCTTCTGAAATCGATGGATCTACTGATAATGAATCAATGGATTTCTCACAAGATACATTAGATGCATCACTATTGCTTTTCTCTCCGTTATCTTTATCGGTTTCAATTTCATCCGCAAATTTAACCTTCTCCATTTTAAAAAAGTCTTCTTACAGTTTTCCAAACTTTCAAATTAAATATTATTCTAGAACATGAATTTGTTATTTTGTTCGAAATCTTGTTACGTGAATCGGTATCTTTCCGTTTCATTTTAAACGTGAAAATAATAATCGTTAGATTCTAATAATTTTATTTCTTTGTATTTGTATTTTTATCTTTCGTTTGTAGCTAGTTCTTTGATGTAACTCAATCCTTTGATAGTATACTTTATGTTAAATTAAATAAATAATATTGTTAAAGGATTGAGCAACGAATATGGGAACGTCTGACAAGGACTGCGAATGCTGAAAATTTATATAAACTATTGATATATGAGGTAGAAGGATATACAGTGTAACGTGTGTGTTGTGGATTGCTGTATGTGGGACACTTTTTAAAAAGAATTCAGTATCCAAGAAGTGCACTTTAATAGATTTCTTAATTGAGTTGTATGCAGTGGCGTAGCGTAGTGGGGACGGCAAAATTTCACAATAAATAATAATAATATCTTGTAAAAATTTGAACCATTTCATTTCATATTTTTGTCGCACCTACGATTCGGACCGATTGAAATGAGCACGGAATTTTTCATTACTTATTCAGTGACGAAACTGAATTTTAGTCTTTTAAATTGAGATACCTAAATAAGGGGGCGGCGAAATTTTCCTCCGCCCCGGGCGGCTGACACCCACGCTACTCCACTGGTTGTATGGCTACTTTGCTGGTAACACTTTACGCCCAGTGGGCATTAAGGTCTTTCAATCATACGTTTTATTGGTTTGACCAGGCCCATAAATCCAAATGAATAAAAACATGAATCAAAACCAATTATTTAAGTTCTCAGTTTTACAGAAATATATGTTTAAAACGAATCTTGGGATTGATACAATCTAGCCTTTCCTCCTTTCCTAATCTTTCGGAAAGGATTGGAAGGACAAATTGATTATTAACTGATTCTAGAGTTGTAAAAAGAAAGACAACAATTATCCATTTTAATAAGATAAAAATAAAAAATATACATAGAAATAAAAGCCATTGTACTGTACTCATAGTAAAACATTTATTGTAATAGATACAATGGTAGTATTGTCTAGTAAAGCAGCTTTATACAGTTGGATCAAGATGTCTAAACAAGTTTAGAGAATTTTGATGAACAAATTAGGGCTGTGCTAAACCAACATTTTGATAACGATGTCGAATATCAAATACCTAAATAATATCGATATCGGAACATTTATCGATTGGCATAACACTAAAGCAATAATCCGTTTTAAATGAGTTTTCACCTAAAGGCAGTTTCGGAAAAATTCGACAGTATCAGCCAATCAGATTTTAAGCAAGCATGCACCGGCCTGTAGTATAATGTAGTGTTGCCAGCCTTCTGTCGTGAAAACGCCCTAAATTGAACTGAAATTTTCTCTAAAGCTAAGAGTTTCCACTAAAAATTGAAACAAGTTACTACTAAACAGATGCAATGCATATAAAAAAAAATATATTAGTCTTTTGACAATACAGTTGAGCAGAAGCATCATATGATAAATCGACATGCACTGCATCTCGCCCTAAATTTCCTCCACTCTGTTGATTTCCTACTAAATTGGCATCATGATATGCCTAATTCGGGTACAAATACAATAAGATAAAAATGAAATTCACGTTATTATCAAACTTTTTATTTTGTGCAAGAATTAAGATTTTAATTACTAAATTAATTAAATCTAAACTTCGTTACAATAAATTTAACTTTGAATATGCATGAAATAAATACATCAATCACTTCATCAACGCTAATAGAAGGTAATAAAATCTGTGTGACGTCACGTTGTTGACAATTAAAATTAATCACGTGGCTGACAAACAAGTGGTTGTCTTTAGATCTTACGTAAATATATATCTGATATCTTAAATAAATTACAACACATGCCTAGAAACTTTTATCTTTACAAATGGATGTTCAAAGATCATCTTATAAGAAATGATATTATTATTTTTTTAATAGATGTAGGAATAATTAACATTGTAATTAAAGACAGCAAAATGTAAGCTTATTTACTTTATACTGTTTGTTTTTTTTCCTTATTCAATTTAATAAAATAAAATAAAATCAATGATTATTGTACATGTCGGTTCAAATGTTCACAATTTTGTAAACTGTACATCTTATATATTTTATAATAACACAACACATGATATTGACAAAGCATATTNCTTTTAGCCGCTGCTTCGATACATCACTGTATAAAGAGTTATCATCAACAGTTTTTTCGTCACAACGTGAAGAACTTGCTTCTCTTGATGACATTTTTTTAATTATAAAATAATTTTTCAAAATAAATTTCACTGCACAAATACATCTATTCACATCAAAATTCAGAAACGAACTGTTAAAGAGTGAGTGAAAAAGAACTCTGATAGAAAAACGCTCCTAGTGAGAATTAGATCATAGCTCACCTTTGGTGATTATAATTAGATAAGAAAGTTGACACATAGGTGTCAAGAATGCACTGTTATTGTCAATAAAAGTGAAATTATTAGGCTTGGAATAGTAAAAATTAAATTAAATGTAATTTAGTCTAACAGTCTATTGCAATGGAATACAAAGATTATTGTAAATAAATGTTAAAAATACAGACTATTTCAAATAATTATATATAAATTTGCAATTAATTACAGTTAATAATTTAATGTGATAATTCAAAGGATAAGTATAATTTAAATAATGCAATAAAAGTGAAATTATTAGGTAAAATCTTGTTACTTTGGCATAATATGTAATTTAGTCTAACAGTCTATTGCAATGGAATACAAAGAATAAAGTTAATTAAAATGGTATGCCGACTTCAAGCATTACATTAAAATAAAAGTAAGGACATGTTTGCTGAAGTATTGAAATGTAACTTCTGATAGTGATTCATGTCACTTATTGCTTTGTTTTCTTTTATTTAATCAATGAAAATTATTTTTCTAAAATCAAATTTTAAATTTCAACAAAGTTTAGTATATTTTCAACTCCACAGTGCCTGATTTATGGTTATGAGTGCAGAAGGCTGCTTAACATTTTGTGTGCCCTTTACAAAAAAATCATATTTCTGCCCTAATGTAATTTTTTTTTGTTTTTTGTAGTTTTGTAATAAGAAATTATGCAGTTTTAGTGGAATTAATTCTGGTAAACTGTTGCAAAAATGACTGTTTTATCAACACATTATTTTTAACGGATCAAAAAAATGGGATTAAATGAAAAATTGTGCATTCCTAGAATTGTTGCACCCTAGGCTACATCCGAGGCAGCCTTTTCAGTAATCAGGCACTGCAATTCCATGAGATATACAAAGTCTCAAAAAGAAGTAAATAAATAAAAATTTTAATTAATTGAAGAAAACTTAATTCAATATGTTATAAACCTTTTGAAAGCCTTTAACCTTCATTCAAAAATGATTATATAATGTTAAATTAAAATTCCTTGTATTTTGTACAGACATTTTAATCTAATATAAAACAGTATTTGATTTAATTCAAGAAAACATATAAAGTAAATTTTAGTCACATAGAATAATAACTCCCTAAATCTTCAGAAAGATGTAATCCAGTTTGTATATTTAGTTAGGTTGTGAAATGGCATACAAAACGGAGAATAATATAAATTGTTTATATATATATATATATATATATATACCTGTATATTTTATGATAAGAATCCTTTATTCTGTCAAATTCTTTTATTCAAAGAAAAGTATTTGCAATTTTTCATACCACTGGGCTTTAAAACACATTCAAACTAATATCCAGGTAGTGAATATGTAATATATGAGGGCAGTTTTTTCAACCTCCAATGGTCTATAAAACAAAGACAAATAACAAAATGATTACCATAAGTTAGGTACAAACATGGTTACTTTTTGACATAATCACTGTGAAGATTGAGGCATTTGTCAATCTGTGGATGAGCTTTGAAATTCACTCTTCATAGAATGTTGCCACCAGTGACTTGAGATGGGCCTTAATGTTGTTTTGAAAATCATCATTAGTCTCGAACCTCTGTCCTCCTAGCCAAGTTTTCAGTTCAGGAAAGAGGTGGAAGTCTTCACACATTAAAGGTGTGAAGACTGTCACCTTTCAGACTTCCACTTAGCTTGGAACTTTTTAAACACCTAAATTGTCAAGGTTGGCAACGTTCTATGAAAAGCGGATTTCAAAGCTAGTCCACAGATAGACAAATCTCTCAATCGTCACAGTAATTATGTCGAAAAGTAACCATGTTTGTACCTAACTAATAAATTCATTTTGTTATTTACACTTGTTTTTCTTTTATGGACCATCGGAGGTTGAAAAAAAAGCCTATGTAATTTACCATTAAAACAACATTTAATTGCTTCTAAAAATATCAATAAATATACAGTATGTATTGTAAAACAGAGTTTCCTCTTCTGGAAACTACTGTTAATTTTATACATGAAACATTTTTGGCATATCAAACCAACATTTTGTTTCCAGAAGAAGCAGTTTATATTTCTTATAATATGCAATATGATACTACAATTTATTGAATTTGTTGAATATTATAAAACAGTTTTGAATAGTAATTTAATTTGCATTGGATAGAAATATTTTGATTTAAAACTGTACTTCAATGATATTAATGCATTCTAATAATAATTATTAGTTATAAACACTCATATTTTCAGGTACTAGATTTTATGATATTATTATACCTCAAGAGAAGAATGATTTGAAAAAAGCTGAAATTGAAAATCATCTCTATTTCATTTTAAGAAGCTTTATTTAATTTAGAGATAGCAAAGGTAAAACCTTTAGAAAGATACTTTCATTTGGTAAAAATGTCTTCTGTTACTTGAAACTTAACCAAATTAGTTTATAGAACTTATTAATATCAAATTAAATGCTGATCAAAGTTTCTTCATATCCCAGTTTCAACAGTCATATAATTTCATAAAAGGCCATAACAAATCTTAATAAATCATCCTTTTTATTTTACTTATAAATCCATTTTGAATACCTCTTTAGTACAAACAGAAAGTTAAATTCTATAAGTAAACAATGTTATAATTAAAGATTTACAGAAATCTGAGAAGTAACCTTAAAAATCATATACCTCTGTAAACAAAACCAAGCACACAAGATCATACAACCATCAGCCAAATTAATTGGGCATAAATTATGCTAGAAATATTAATTGAAAATTACATGATTAGAACAACTAGAGGTAGATGTTAGGTGCCATATCTGTTTGGTATACTCTTTCACAATTCTACATTTCCAAAGTACAGCTAAAGTACCCTGAGGAGATAACACATTTCTTATTTTAACACTGGGCACAAGCTCCGATTCACTACTGTAGACCAAGGATGACATCATTCCAATTTGCAAGTACACATATACTGGTGTTCAAATTAATATAATTTTTATGTTTAACTATTAAATAATGTTCTAAGAATTTTCTTTACATAATATTTTAATATCTTCTTTTTTAATTTGATAGTTATATGTCTGAACATGCAAGTACAATAGCAATCACCTGTGTTTTAATCTAAAGCAGTCTAATGATCTCTTGACACAATGATGCAGCAATGTTTTCTCTCTAAAACTGCGAGAAACTGAATTACTACTATACAGTAAATATTTGATATATTACTACACAGAAAATTTTACTTATTTTTCTATATATCCAATCTTTTTCTCTTAACTATATTACGTAAACATCATAAAATTACTGAAAAAATTGTATTTACTACACAAGTTAAATTATTTTATTGATTATTGATTTTTATTTTAAGAAAAATTTAAAATGGTCACCTCAAAGTTGTAAGCTATGTTGTAAATATAATTCAAAAATGTTTACAACTTAGAGATGGTTATTTATTCTTCATATGAACAATGCCTTGATGCACATAAGTATCACTTATGTAATTTTGTTGCACTCAAATGATGTTGATTTCTTAAGTCTATCAATATCTCTTGGACTATTCTAGTTCACAGTTGATTTCAGATGACTCTGGTAGTAAAAAGTCAAATAGAAAGTAAAATGAAAAATATAACTGAAAATTAAAAATTCTCAAAAAAATATAAATATATTAATTTGTAGTAGTTTGGTCTATGGTGCATGACTTTTGATTTATTCTGCATACTTTCCTGGAATAAATTTATATATTATAAAGACAGGACATAGCAGGTTTTTTTTTCTGCTCTTTCTGACGCAGCACAAAAACATATAGTTACAAAGAAACACAAACAGTTACAGTTTTATTAAGGTATATACAGTTCAGTCAATTAGTTTAACTAAACATGTAAATCATAAACATTATTAATATATTTTTAAAAGTAATTAAATTAGATATATTAGTTATAATTAAAAGTTATCATTATTTTTTATCTGCTTTTGTTAACAAGTTATTGACACAAACAATATTTTGCTAGCAATGTCAGATGGAAAATATTGATGGAAATTTTACAGTTATTGATGGGATCAATAAGGGGTTTTCCATAAATTACATCTGCATTTTTCTTCAAATTTTTACCCTTCTCACCTCTTGTTTTAATTTGTCTAAGTTTCTGTAACTTCCTCTCTTCTTCAGATGTCCAACAAAACTCAACCCTCCTTACAACCTTTGTTACTTTATGAATTGTAGATACCATAAGTAGAAACAAAACATATGAGAAATTTTGAAATAAATATAATAAAATGCATAAACTGTTATTAAATTTAATGAAATAAATGACACCCTACTAAATCTACTGAAGCTCAACTCCTCCCTCACTTCCAGTGTGGATATCATTTATTTACAGTCCCTAACTTGCTAGCAAAATTTCTGGAATTAATATTTTTGATGAAAAATTTACTATTTTCAATTTTTCTAATATGAATTAGTATATACACAATAAATATTTAGTTAATTTTTCTTACATTTTATATGTATTTAATGATATAATTTGAGACTAAGGTTGTTGTTCCAGTTTCTACATTCAACAGCAAAATAGTATATTTACAGTAAATATTATAGATAATTTTGATATAGATATTTAGGAATGATTTTTACATGGAAAAATGAATAAACTATCATAAATTGAAATTCTAAATGATCATCTACTTTTTTTATTCTTAATATATGTATTCTAATCATAATCAAAATAAAACATCTTATATGCATGAAGATAAGTAGTTGCTATATAAATTGTAAACTATTATTGAATTAATTTCTTATATGTATATTTTCAGATAGAAAATATTTCTTAGAGACTTGCATTACCAATATACTTCAACATGATAAGTGCCTATTCTTTGAGATTATCAAGATTTTACAAAATACAAAAATTTATATCATGGTATTCTTCAGCTTCAGCTGCTCCTAGTGGTGTACCTCATACAAGAATAAAAAAGGAAGATGTAAAAGTGCCAAAATCTCTTCCATCATCAGCAGATGTAGTCATAATTGGTAGAAATCTTTATGAAATTATTTAACTTTAAATTTTCAAAAATATGTTAAAATGTTTTTAATTTACAACTTTAAAAAATCTAAAACACAGTGGACTCTAGAGCTGTACTAAACCAAAATTTTGATATCAATATTTGGCTTGCTATCAAGATTCCTTTGATATATCAGTTACCAGCACAGCACTAGTAGATTCTCACTAACCTAGTATACCCCAAGTGGGATCACCTGTGTGTTCTCAATTCCAAAAAAATGTTAGTTGTGTCAGACATCCTATTTTGCTCTACTCAACTTTCATTTGTGTACTGTGCTGCATTAGTCTGCTGTATTATTTGCCCACCCACTAAAAAAAATCAATATCAAAGGATGACAATGACAGGTCACATCATTCACTGCCTTAAAGGCAACGAATGATGTGCATGCATTAAGTTTATAGTCTCTTTGTAATGTGGCATCCCTCTGTGCAAGGAACGGCCAAATTAGCAAGAATATACAGTATTTTTATTTCCTCTAACCTAAATTTAGAATAAAAAATTGAAATTTTTTTAAAACATGGTCTAATCATAAATTAAATTTCAAAATATTTAATGATAATCTAAAATTATTCAGATACTTTTGTAAAAACTTTTATGAGAATGTTTTTATACTTGGATATATTGCATACATAAAATGCTCAAGTTAAAGAAAATTTTATTTATATATAAGATTTTCACAGGAATATATTTTATGCTGACATATTGTTCATATGCATAATATGAGTATTTCATTATTTTTTCATTTTACATCATCATCAAACAGACAAAAACTATTCATATTAATATGCTTGAAAATGTGTAAACAAATAAACAAATTTATCTATAGTTGTTTGAAAAATTATTAACTGGAAGCAAAAATGCATTTTTTTCCCTCCAATTTACAAGAATTTTCAATTGATATGACAAATGGATTAAAAATAGATACAAAATGTAAATGCTTACATATCACTTTGTGAAAGCTTGTGTAATAATTTCAACTTTTATATAAAGAAATTTGATTCAATGTGTGCTATAACAGCTGAATCTGTTNTTTATTTATAATAATAAATAAATTTAAATTGTTGTTGTTTTATATATATATATAAAACAATTTAAATTTACAACTATACAAAATGAACATCACGGCTTCAGTGTCTCAGTTATTGGGTTTCACTACCACTTCACATTTGCAACACCTTTTATGGTTCTTAATGGCATCATACCACAAATCATCAATTTCCATCCCATTCCATCAAAATTATATCAACTTAAATAATGGGATGGAAATTCATTATGTATGGTATATTAAGAACCACAAAAGGTATCACAAAAGGTTTTATATATATATATATATTTTTCTTAAAATTGTAGCATGTAGAGGGATTGGAAAATACCAATCTGAAATGCATTGTTAAATAGGCAAATAAAGTGAATTGATTTATTAATTTTGGTCTCTGTTTATTGTGGAAAATTAAGACAGATGTGATAAAGATCACCAGTCTCACTATTGGAAGAAGCTTTTACTCATTGTTATATCCGATCCATTTTAATAATTTTATTAAACAGTTTACAAAGACTTAATATATTGATATAAGTTGAAAGTATCTAAGAAAGTCTTCATTTAAGATTTAAGGTTAAAATTATATTCCACTAATGTTATTGTTTATATAGTTTTCAAATGCTTTAATACATATAACATTATACTGGATGTCCAAAAATTTACTGTTCAGTGTCTAATCACATTAAAGTTATATTACTTCATTACATACAAGATCTGTAAGTTGTATATCCCACATTTTCACTTTGCAGTAGATGTCATAACTGCTTGCTCACATGTTCTGGTTTTTTGGAGTACAGTTTTTATAAGACTTCTTTGCTGATTACATAGTCTTCTATAGAATCTCATAGTCTCCCATAGAATAGTGCAAAAGAATCAACGGCAACATACTCTGCTTCACAGACAGTAGGTACGTCCTCCACACAATAAAAAATATCGGGAAAATGACTGAAACAGGAATTATGTTGAGGCAACCAGCCAAAAATATTGCAGAAAGAAGAAGAATCAAGTTTCATTGTGTGACCTGGCCATTCAAACAACAAAAGAAACAACCACACAGATGAATTAGCCAGGAATGCAGCGGCCAGGAACATGTATACTACCTTCAGCAGAATCCCTCTGTAGCACATACAAATCACATACAGGCGTTAATCAAGGAAGAATGGCAAAGTGATTGGACACACTCATCAATGGGGAGGCTTACCCAGCTTTATTCCATCTATCAGTCAACGGCAGTGCATGTCATACTTCATGCCAAATTATAAAATAACACAGTGTTTAACAGGGCATGGGGACTTCCCATATTATCTGCACCTATTCAAAAAAGTGGACAGTGAGCATTATGAGTGTGATAATATATCATCAGGGGATGCACATCACGTTCTTTTCCATTGCCTAAAATATGATTATCAGCATAGTCCTCTTTACACAAACTGCATTCAGCAGGTACTATCCTGGCCGCAAAACCCAAGTGACATATGCAGCAAAAAGGAACTGTACATGGCAATGGCCATGTTCATAAACAGTATAGCCCTTCGTTAATGAGCTAATCTCTATTAGGCACAAGGAATAAAGTGAAGAAAAGCCAACCAACTACCAGAAGATATCACTGCAAATCAACCAGTAGCCACCATGCCAACAAACAATCAATGGGACAACACAACAACAACAGGAAGACACACAAAGTAAAGATGACAACATGGCAATAACGAAGGAGAAAATCGGAACCACCAACACCCAGAAGCTTCAACATAAGCCAGAATGGCCATCTGTATTATTCTACATAAACACTGTATTTTCAAAATGGAACTAGTTAAATGTATGCACTGCAGGGCTTCCAGGAGAACCCACCCTCCCTATCTGAACTATCCTTATAACTTTCCTTCCATCACAACTTCTCTTTTTATCCCACTGCTTCCTCTCAACTTTACCTCTCCTAATCCTATCTATCTCTTCCTCTCTATCATAGACTAAGTTTAGCAACAGTCTTTTCTCACCTTTACACACAAGTCTCCCATAGAATCTGGTCTTCTAGGTCTCCAGACCTCACTCCCCTAGATTCTGGGGCCTCTGGGGGACATTTCTAACATTTGCTATAGGCAAAACTGCAATATCATATGTAAAATGTCACTTTTATTAAAATTTAAATGTTTTCCATTGCACAGTAACTTTTTGGGCACATTGTTACTAATAATTTCACAAATATTCTAATGCTTTCTTGTATTAATAAAATTAATACTAAGTCACAAAGTTAGATAATCTGCCTAAAAATAATATAGGAAAGTTTCTTGATGATAGGTACAAAATTGAATAAAGATCTAAGAGATTTTACATTAAGTAAAAAATATAACATGTCTTCGACATCAGTTGCTCGGTGACATATTTATCAGCGACGCGATATACGCGACTGGACTCGACGTGAAGGGTGATGATAACGTCGATATCTTCTATAGTAATTATTATATCCTTAAGACAATAAACAAGAAAATTAATAATTTAATAAAGTTTTGAAATAAAGATACACGTTTAAGTTTTTATTTTTCTTTAAGCTGCAGTTAATACCACAACTGGTCGTAGACGACAAAACTGGTCTAAAATCCTGTTTAGGACACTGGAAAACACTTAAATCAAGTGAAATATTTTTTGAACTTGTTTTTATTTGAATTTATCTCTGAAATTTCAAAAAAAATGTTTAAAGTATTTTTAAAAAAAATATATTTGTGTGTGTAATTTGTCAAAATATGGATACTTGTAGTGTGTATTCAAATAACAGAATATGTGTATAGCATGAAAATTTTCAATTTTATATAATGTATACATAATTAAGCAAGTTACCAAATCTTCAAAAATATGACCATCATAAATAAAATTATTTTTGAAAAATGGTAGAATATCTACACCAGAGTACTGTAAAAAATGCACATATCTATAAGTCTTTTATTGGTGCGCGTTTTATCACACTATACAACAAAGTTACAAATGCTTTCGAACCATTACGGTACTTCTTCAGGTAATGATTCCCTCCTGGGATCATTACCTGAAGAAGTACCGTAATGGTTCGAAAGCATTTGTAACTTTGTTGTATAGTGTGATGAAACGCGCACCGGTAAAAGGCTTATAGATACATGCATTTTTAAAAATTATTTTTATTAAATTATCTATTAACTAATTGTATTACATTTAAAGGTTATATAGTGGGGCATAAATACTTGATGGTTTTTATTTTGTTATTACAAATTTTACCACAAGGCAGCAGCAACACTAGTGGTGTTAGTATATTCTATCTGCATACTTCTTTGAATTCATGGATTGCTGATCTGTACAGGAGCATGTTGCTACAATAGAAGCATTCATAAAAGCCAATTCTGTTTCTGCTACATAGTGAGAATTTTGGCATTATTTTAACACACAACATACTCCCTCAAGAAACACTATGGTATTGTGGGTTAGGAAGTGACAGGAATAATGCTCAATGCATGATTCATGACATTCTACAGAACATCTTCCACCAATGATGGGTTTCCTTCACACCAGAATGAAACAGTAAATTTTTGGAAAATCATGTTGGCCACCTTGTACAATGGCAGAGCAAAGGGAAAGGCTGCAGAGCTTAAGCCCTTTCTATTGAGACAAAAAAATTTTAATTTAATTTTTTTAACCTCAAAACATTGTTTTTATAATATAAACATTTACAATAGCAAATATAGTTTATCAGACCATCTGCAATACAATCATAATGTACTGTACATGTTAATGAAATGTATTTATTAGTTACACAAATATTTTAACTTTTGAGTTGTCTTTATGCTACTGATCTCATGGACATTATTTTCAAGACATAACTGAAGCACTATCTTAAATTCTGTTCCATTAGGCATCTTTCTGTGGCAATAAAATCTTTTTATGACGAAACACAGATGTAAAGATTCTCTAAAAACTGTCAGATGCTCTATTCTGTATTTTATCTAGGTATGATTGTTAGTCAAAACAGTGGATGTGATGTTGTCCAGTTAGATGAAATCCACTATCTTGCAAACATTTTCTAATTATTGTTGCAAGTTTTCATATGCTTAACTAAGTGATCTGCTATCCAAAGTATGCATATTCAAAACTTAATGTTGCACAAATGTGTGCTTTTGCAAATGCAAACTTTTACTAAATAACTGAAGAGTTTTAAAACAAAGAATAAGTACTATTGCTAGTTTTAGCTTTGTACTAAAGAATAAGTACTTTATACTTAATGAAATGGCATGAAATCCAATTAATTCTGTATTAATAAATTACAATTTAGTATGGAATTTTACTGCATTATATGTGTTTGAAAAAAGTGGGTTCTTTTATGATATTCTGTGTAATTTATTTTAATTTGATACTGTTTATAATACTAATTTTCATTTATTTCATATTGTAAATAGTCTAAACTTCGAATTATGAAGAAATACATCCTGAGTTATTACAAAAAATTAAATGAATTTATATTTTTAAATAAAATGTAAAATTACTATTTCATAATAATTTAATATTGCATTTTATTTATTTAAGGATTAATATGGAGACTTCGACCAAGTGATACAGATATAGAAATTCTTAATCATACTCGTCATTTATTGCATAATGTTTTAGAAGGTGAAAGTGGTGTACATCCAGGTTGGATTAATAATGGTGGTTTGTTTATTGCAAATTCAAAAGAAAGATTACAAGAATATAAACGCTTAATGACAGTATGTAATTGTATTTTATATTCTAAACTTAAAATTTATAAACTTTTCAAATATTATTAAATTTTAAAATAATTTTTGATCATTAATATTTTTCCTTTTTTTAAGTTTCAATTTTTTATATCAAATAACTCAAATCTTTAAATTAATATAAAGACCAGATTTAGATCAAATGATTTAATATTGCATAAAACTGACAATATAAATGAAGTTACATAACTTGTAATAAGTTTAATTAATAATTAATTAAATTAATGATATTTTACTCAAAATTATAACATAAAAATTTATTGAAAAATTATTAAATTAAATGTTGTTATGTAATAAAGAAAGAAAGACTGAAGTAATAATACTTGAATTTTTATACTTCAGTTTACAAGATGAATCATATTAGATAATCTTTTTAATGTAATCAACCAATTTAAATATAAATTTTATAGTTTTAAACTTACAGATAATAGTTTTTACATGTAAAAACTAAATTATAAGTATATTTATACTTATAATTTATACTTATTATAACATATTTCATTGATTTTAAGATGCTCTTTTTTACTAGTCCAAAATAGAGGTGTGTCCTATAATTCAGTGTTTTTCAGCCTTTCTTATCTCATGCATACTTGAGCCTATAATTAAATCTTTATGGAAAATATCATGTGATTTAATATTGGGTTTGTAAACATTCTATTGCCACATTACTTGTATAATCAATTTAAAGAGGTTTTAATTTTGACCTGTACACTTATTTCTCTTTGTGCTTCTATTGAAAATAATTAAATTAATAATCTTCAAAAACTTTCATGGCATACCAGTTGAAAATTGCTGCTATAATTGATGGCATCTTACATTTGCAGTCCAAAGTGGCAATCAAAAATATAACACTTTTGCAAGTGAACATATTAGAGCGTTAATAATAGACATTTTCAGTTTTATAGCTCAAAAGTAACATTAGTTCAATGAGCTATACTGGTAACATAAATTGCTAGAAAGTGTTTTATTGTATAAAATGCCTGTAGGTGACATTTTAATAGAGTGTTAAAACAAAAGTTATTTTAACTATTAAAAAAAAATGAAAACAGATGCCAAACATTGCATAATTTATTACATTTGTATTGTTTTTCTAATTTGTTACTTAACAAAATTTAAGAAAAATCTTGAAATCTGATTTCAAAATTTATAGTGCATCCTAGAATCTATGGCATTCTAGAATTTAGGAAATATACCACTAATTCTATTTTTTTTTCCTATTTATTATCATAACACACTATATATGTTTTATATGTTTACATTTATCATGTATAGTGTTCTGTGAAAAATTTCCATAACTGATAGTTTGAAGAAAACTATTAATAGTTATAATTTTTTAAATATAGCTATCTTATTAACAGACTTTTATGACATTTTTTTAGAATCTTGATTCATTATATAGCATTGTATAAAATTATTGATATAATTATCTAACCTTTTAATTTATAAGATATCTGTATAGAATTTATGAAGGTGGAGTAATAATGAAATGGAAGATAAATATTTTATTTAAACATAAAAGATTTCTTACACTTAACAGATTTACATGTTTATGTACTGGTACTAAGTATATGTAATAAACAAACATTCCATTTCCTTGGAAAGAAGAATACACCATATCCAAAAGAAGAAAGAATGACTCAGACAAAAGAAGTATATTTAGCCTTGAATGAAATGTGAATTCACATCCTTCAATAACATATAATAAACACTTTTTTGTTAATTTTTATACAAAAAAAATGAAATTACAATAAAATTAATACAATTTTGCAAGTTTCTACATTTTCGATGCTTTTTCACTGTCCACTGTTCCTAATGCATGTGATCCAAGCTTTTGGATGCTTTTTCCTAGCTCCTTCTTTTGGATGTACCAATAAAATCTAAAGAAATACTAGGAGTTTTTATCTTCAGTGTCTTTGTTTACTAAAAGATCTACAATATAATGTAAATTTATTTAGTTATTATGCACACATACACACAAGTATATATATATATATATATATATAATACAAACAGAATAAGAAAATGCATAAATATTTTATTTAATTTAAAGCTACACAATGTTATTTTATAGTGTTAAGTTGCTGTTGCAAGCATTTGATTTGATTAATAAATTTTTAATTTTTGTTANATAAAGCACAAGTATATATATATATATATATATAATACAAACAGAATAAGAAAATGCATAAATATTTTATTTAATTTAAAGCTACACAATGTTATTTTATAGTGTTAAGTTGCTGTTGCAAGCATTTGATTTGATTAATAAATTTTTAATTTTTGTTATGTTTGAAATTTTAAAATTTTTTATGAATATTTTATATTTAGTAACATAATTTTAAATTTTGGTTTTTATTACAGAAAACTGTATTCTAACAATGTAGTCATTCAAAAATTGCATTCATATTTCTATATAACTTGCTTAATTACTAAAAGTATTTGTGATAAAAATTTTCTTTAATTTTAAAATATTACTTAATTTGTATGACGAGTTTAATGTTTTAAGCATTAGATTGTATAGTATGATGGAATTGAAGTAACCTAGTTATATTAAGTATATTTAAATGAATAACTTAAAAATATAAATCAGAGAATTAATTTAGTATATTTTTACATATATTAGGTAGGAAAAGCATTTGGAATTGATTCATTTATACTTTCTCCACAAGAAACAAAAGAACTTTATCCTCTTATGAATGTTAGTGATTTATATGGGACACTTTATAGTCCAGGAGATGGTACTGTGGATCCTGCAGGATTCTGTACCTCTCTAACCAGAATTGCAACTAAAGCAGGAGCAAAGGTATTCTTATTTTTCATCTTTATTATGTTGTGTATTAAATAGTTAAAATAATTATAAACAGGTTTTATATGTTGAGTAGATTAATAAGCTCAATTGGGGGAAAAAGTAATTTTGTTAAGAAAGACATTTCTAGAAATATTACTAATAATTTTCAAATTCTTTACAACATTAATTTTAAGATAAAGTTTTTATAAAATTTCACATTAAATTAAATTATATTATACTTTCTAAATATCTTATAAACTATTTCAGTTTCAATTTTCTGAATTTTTTAATATATACAGTCAAACCCTGTTATCATGTTATCAGTTTATGCAAAGTCCATGTTAATGTAAAGATTTGTGTTTTGTGAATGTGGGAAGATAGGCATTTCAATGTTAATGAGTTCAATTAATACAAAGTGCCAATTTTTCAGTCCCATTGACTCCATGTTAATGGGGTTTGACTGTATCTATATTACAATATACTATAATATACAATACATACATAATTATATTTCTTCTCTAAATCATGCTTAAAAAGTAAATAAATTAAAATTTTTCATATCTGAATTTTACAATTTTGTAGAATTTTTTCCTATATTATAATTTCATTTTTTTATCAAAAATATTTAAATTTAAAAGTTTTGTATGGAAAAATTATCTTAAAAAATTTTTTATTAAANTTAGGCTACTTTCCCTGCCTACATTTATGTAAATCAGGTAAAAAGTTCCTTGACTGTGTATTCCATGTTTAATTTTTATAAATTTACTGAGTCGTCATGATTAAGTTTAATAATCCTGTATAATATTTTGTCATATTAATTTATTAATAATGTATACTAATATTCTTTTTAATATATTTTATTCAATTTTATTTTATAATTGAAAATAATTTTTTGTATGTTAAAATAAATTGAATTGTAACAAGACTTTACACATTTATATATTTAAGCATTAATTAAAAATATGTTAATTGATGCTTCACTGGATTGTTAATTGAAATGATTGGCATTTGATAAGAAAACTTAGCCAAATTAACATACAAATAATTATTTCTAGATTAATTATTAATTTTGTTGTAATGCATTATAATTATAAAAAAATTATGTATATACACACTTGATATATTCTTGTAAAAGACATAAAATAAAGGAATTTCTTTTTGTATCAAGTAAAGATTCTTAGTGATGTGAGATATAGTCTACAAATTAAACTGTCTTAATTGTGAACACAAGAACACAAATGTTGTGATTAGCAACATAATTCAGCTAACTTTTTACTCAGAATCCTCACAGATACATTTTAAAAGGGAATAAATGAGTCTGAGATGCTTATGTATTATGAACATGTCTTACATATACTCATTAAACATAATATTATATATATAATTATGGGGGAAAAGTGATTATTTAGAAGTATACCCTAATACCTAAGTATTTGTAAATTGTTATTAAAAATAAAATTTAACACCATATACAACTTTTATATGAAATATTGAATATCAAAATATTTGGGTTTGCTTTATTATAAATAAATAAATTTTTAAACGAAGCTAATGAATTGAATATCAATATGTGATTCAATAGGCATATTAACAGATATAGATATCAAAAGACTGAGAATTTGATTTTTTTTAAATACTGTATTTATTTATTTTTTTTAGATAATTTATTTAGAATTATATTTTAGGTTATAGAAAAATGTCCTGTAATTGATATCAGTGTGGAAGAAGATGATTTTAATGTAAAAAGAATTAAATCTGTAGTTACAGAGTTTGGAAAGATTAACACAAATTGTGTTGTAAATTGTACAGGTAAAATAAAATTTTTATACTTCTAAATTCAAATTTATTTTTAGGATTTGTAAACTCAAAATTTCTAAGTAATATATTTACAATATATTAAGAAAACTATTAATGTATAATCAGATATCCAAATAAAAAGAAAATTCGTTTTTGTTTTTCTAATATTATGTTGAAAATACGCTTATAATAAAAGTCTTTTCCTTATTATTATTTTTTTTTATTGTTGCTCTGAGGATCCTAGGTTCTGAATTGGATTCTCAGGAAATTTTGTGGGTAATATAACTTAGACATATTAGGCTCATCCCTCATTACTTAGTGGTTTCATTGTGGGACTGGCCAAACCCATGATTGACATGAAGAGATACTTTCTTATTGCCTGCAAGCTAGAAGAAACAAAAACATTTTTAAAGATGCTTTCATTCCTTTATAATAGTGTTTTGCGAAAATAGTGAATAAAAGAATTCTTTCCCATTTTTGCTCTTTTGCCTTGTGAGCACTAAGAAGGCGTTTAAATCCTATATCTATCATAAATTTAGCCAGGTCCACAATGAGCCCACAAGTGGACAAGTGGATAAAACCACTGAACACTGGTAGTCAGTTGCAGGTTGATGCCTTGTTGTCTTGTTTACATGAAGAAAAGCCAGAAAACTTTATGTATTTAATACTTAAATAGAAGCCAATTTCCCATGGAAAGATCCCCTGGGCAGGGCTGGATTTGAGGTGATTGGAGCGATTTGCGCCCTTGAAAGGGCCCCACAGGACATCAAAATTTATATATTTAAAAATAGTTTCAAATTACAGAATAGATTAAACGGTTTAGCGATCATGTCGATTGAGAGTCAAGAAGCAAGCCAGTTGGATTTTGATACTATTTTAGAAGATTTTACAGAACAAAAACTTCAGAACATATAAAGCATCTTTTTATAGGTTTATATTCAATAAAATTCAGTTATATTTATTCATTAACACATTAGAAGATTTTTCATGGCAAAAATTTATGTAGTTATATTCATTTAAAAATATAGAAATACTAAAACATATCTATGTATGTTTATATTCAATAAAATGTAGTTGTATTTATATTTGGTACAGGTTTTTTAAAGTAGAAATTTGTCTATCTTATGGTACATGACATTTGATTTTTATAATTAGATTTTGGATTTTGTTTTAAATGAATATTTAAAATCTATATTTCAATATGTAAATTAACTGTTAATTAATTTTGTTATTTAAAGTTTGAGGGGCCCCGCAAAAAAAATTCAATTGGGCCTTGCACCTATTGCATCCAGCTCTGCCTGCCTCTGGTAGGCACCTCCCTTGACAGATTGGCCACCCATTGTGTTGTCTTATTCTATCATTTCCACAATGAGAATGGTCAAGTGGTGAGGGACAAAGTTAAATCAGAATTAAAATTAAAATACATGCATCATAATATAAATGATGCACATATATAGTAAAACGATTTTTAAATAATATGTAAACATTAAAAAAATATATGAAAATTATAGTTTAATTAACTCTTAAATAATAAAATATAAATTATAATGTTAAAATAAATTTGAAGTTATGTTTAATTCAAAATTATTTAAATTAATTACATAAATTTTTTTTATATTTTTAAATTTCAGGTGTTTGGGCTCCATATATTGGAAATATGGCTGGGGTAAAAGTTCCTTTAATTGCAATGAAACATGCTTATGTAGTTACTGATCACATTGAAGGAATTCAAAACATGCCAAATGCTAGAGATCACGATTTATCAGTTTATTTGCGTTTACAAGGAGATGCATTGTCAATAGGTGGTTATGAACCAAATCCTATTTTTATAGATCAGGTATAGTAAAAATTTTATTAAAATTTATAAATTTTTACTATGCAAAATACTGTGTTATATAGTATATTATTTTAATGTATATACTGCAGCATGTATTGTAACATAAAATTTTTTTAACCTGTAATATGAGGAAAAATAATTGTAATTTTTTACATTGTAAAGAAAAAATTTCTAAAAATCCAGGACGTAATATAATTATTTTTAAAAAAATACATTGTAAAAGTACAAAGTATTACAGACAATACAAATACGAATTCTTGTCTTTTCCTTTGTCCTCTTTCAACATCACAGGAACATGATCCACACAGCAGAATCAACCTTTCTTTTTAGGCTACTTTCCCTGCCTACATTTATGTAAATCAGGTAAAAAGTTCCTTGACTGTGTATTCCATTGTAAAAATCACTTACATTGTAAAGAAAAAAATTTTTAAAAAATCCAGGACGTAATATAATTATTTTCAAAAAAAAAAACCATTGTAAAAATACAAAGTATTACAGACAATGCAAATACGAATTCTTGTCTTTTCCTTCATCCTCTTTCAACATCACAGGAACATGATCCACACAGCGGAGTCAACCTTTCTTTTTAGGCTACTTTCTTCGCCTACATTTATGTAAATCAGGTAAAAAGTTTCTTGACTATGGATTCCATCATAAAAATCACTTACATATTTTTTAATTATGTATTTAATTCATTTTGCATTAAAAAATACAAATATTTTTATTTTTTTATTAATATTTTCATATTAACATAACCATACAATTATAATTGTAAAACATTATTTGAAAAGACAGTAAATGATAAATTATATTGATAAATAATTTTGTGAATTTTAAAGATTCTTAATTCAATTAGAAACTTCAGACTAGGAGGCATTAAAGAGAATTAAAAGGAATATTTTAATCTTGCAAGCACTTTCAACTTAAATATGTACAAGTCCTCAGGACAACATACATATTAATGTTGAAAGCGCTTGCAAGATTAAAATATTCCTTTTAATTCTCTTTAATGCTTCCTAGTCTGAAGTTTCTAATTGAATTAACACAACTGTTGGCATGACATCCAATCCAAGTATTAAATATACTTAAAGATTCTATAGTTAAAAGCTAAATTTTTTAATTTACTCTTTAATAAACTGAAAATAATAATAATAATAATGACTTTGATTTTAAGAATTTTTGAAAATAATTTCAAATATAAATAAAGGAGCTTATATGTTTTTTTAAAATAATTTTAAGATTGAAAAAGATTTTGCATTTGGTTTATATGAATTGGATTGGGATGTATTTGGAACTCATATAGAAAGTGCAATTCACAGAATTCCAGCATTAGAAAATGTGGGAATTAAATCAACAGTATGTGGACCAGGTAAATTTTTTATTGTTATTAAAATAAAATGATGTTATTTATTGTTTGAAAAATCAAAATTTATTTTTAATTTTTTAAATACATTCTTTAAAAGTAAGAATTGAATTCTGTACTGCTAGATATTTATTACTAAACAATTAAAATTAATGAGAATATTTTTTTTTATTTTTATATTTGAATCAGGGGGCCATGTATTAATTACATGTGCAGTTTTTGAGCCACTTTCAACCCTCTCTCTCTCCTTACATTGTCCAGTAATGTACTTTTGGCAAACCTCTATCCTTTAATTATGTGTACAGAGAAGTTCATGGACCCTCTAACTTTGAAGAAATGGCTTTAAAAAATTTTGAAAAATATTTTCTAATTGATAATTTATTCATATGACTAAAATTAGACAATAAAGAACACATTCATATGCCACTAATAGCTTTAAAAATGTCCATGCATACAATGGCTCAACTCCCTCCTCCATTGGATACAATGAGATACTTCACCATTCACTCTCTTAAACTGTGAACATAATTAATAAATAGCTCCTTAAGTACATTGAAAGATCAATGAATTTTTTTAAGTAGGTTATTAATGGCATCTATTTTCTGAATTTATATTATATTTATTTTCTAAAAGAATCATTTACTCCTGATCATAAACCACTTTTGGGGGAAGATACAGAAATTAGAGGATTCTTTCATGGATGTGGATTTAACAGTTTAGGAATGAATGCTGGTGGAGGTTGTGGACGAGAACTAGCTAGATGGATTTTTTATGGACGTCCAGAACTTGACATGTACAGTTATGATATTAGGTTTGTATGAATAAATAGTGCAAAATATTCTGAAATTTGGTCAATGTAATAAAGTATTCTTTTAAAAATAAAATATTTGACTAATTAATTCTGTTATTTATTATTTTACTGTTATCAAATTAATTTTACTGATTAGTTTATTTTATTAATTTTAGTGAAATAAACTAATAAAATTTTCTTTGTGATAAAGTTTCTGGGATTCTTTAATCTACAGACTTTGACAATTGTGAAAAAACTATAACTGATTTTTTTCAGCATTTATTTCAGATATTATATACATTTTCTGTTACAATTTTATTTAATTTTGAATTAATAACTTCTATATGATAACTTTGTGATAGTTTTAATAGTTTGTGACATAAACTATAATTTCTTTAAATGCTCAAATTCAATAATTAATGTATAAATTTGTTAGAGTTTGAAAAACTGTCTAGTTTTGCAATAAATTTCATCCAACATCTTATTAAATTTCTTAATTAATAAATAAATATGTTTATTTTACTAATATGCTTGACTTATAAATATCTATTTTTATTATTTTAGACGATTCAGTTCAAAGTTAACTAATAACAAACAGTGGATAAAAGAAAGGAGTCATGAATCATATGCAAAAAATTATTCAATTGTTTATCCTCATGATGAACCATTAGCATCTCGTAATATGAGAAAAGATCCATTTCATGAGGTATAATATTTTTCTTTGTTTTACTTACAATATTACACAGCAAAGCAACCCCAAATTATAAATTAAGCAAATGATAAACCCAGAATTAATCAAAATTACTTTATATATTTAATTAAACATCAAACTTATAATTCAAATATAATTTTTATTAGGAATTATTAAATAATGGATGCATATTTCAAGAAAGACTTGGATGGGAAAGACCAGGTTGGTTTACAAGAGAGAGTGTAGCTCCAGTAAGTTTTAAAACCTAAAATTTATTTAATCTTTATTATCGTAAAATATTTTTTCAATACAATGAAATACAATAAAATGAAAATGCATATGATAAAAATCTGTTTATTAATTTTCTGTTTCTGTTCCTTTTTATTAATTTTTTAACTTTGTATTTAAATTCTGATTATTATTTTGAGTGTATTATTTTTATTTGAAATGTTTCAATCAATTTATTGAAAAATCAAGTTCTTCTAACCTTATTTTCAGATATTAATGAATACATGCTGAAAATTTATAAACAGTAATGAACATTGCTAAAATTTTTGTTTGGTTTAATATTTGAGCACTATTTTAATAATCAAATATAATAAATGAAAGAAAGTAAATTTTTTTATTTTAATTCAATATGGTTATTTCAGTCAAAAAATTCAAAATATCTCCTTTATTACTGGTACATTAAAAATTGATTGTTTTTAATGAAAACCCTTAAAAGTAATTTCAATTAGGTATTGTTAAAATAATACTAACTCTTGAAAACAAATTAGATATGTCTAACTTACAAAGATTACAATAGAGTAAGTGTTTAACAAATATTTCTAAAATTTTTTCTTTTACTTTTAAATGAATTTATAATTAAATAAATTTTTGGTGAGATTATATAAAATATATTTTTTTCATTTTATAACTGCATAGAATTTGATTTTGGTTTACATTAATTAATATATATAAGTTTGGAATTGTTATATTAGAAATCATAAATACAATTTTTCATCTTTGAAAGTTTGTTTTCTTTGTAGATTTAAGTCTTCAGACAGATTTTTTTCATATATTTTTACTTCAGTATTTTTCACTTGTTAAATAATTTTTATTTGATTTAAATGAACAAGAAGTACCTATAAAATATTCAAACAACTAATTGAAGCTTGAATTAGTTATAGCTACCATTAGTTATAATCTATTAATATATCATGAAAGAAGTATAATTTAGCTTTTAGTAAATATTTTTTAAATAATATATTTATTGCACAGTTTGGACAGATGTTAAAAGATGTTTTCAGTTAATATACTGAATAGTAAAATTATTTTAACTTTAATATAGGACATTTATGAATATATGCTAAAAATCCATAAATAGCAATAAATACTGTTAAAACTGTTGCTTGGTTTATTTGTCATATGATATGATATATGATGATGATCAATTTGAATCTATTAGTTTATTAATAGTTTAAATTTTATGGTTGCAACTTTTCCATCAGTAAGAACTAATTGAAATATCCCTGATTAGATCTATTTCTATTCATTTATTAATGGATTAATCCATATTAAATGAATAAAAATTTCAGCTTTATACTTTTGAGCATGATTAAATGAGCAAGAAATTGTGTTTATTTTCTGTTTCTGTTTATTCAGTTGTCAAATCTAGAACGTAAACAGCAAATCAAAAGATACAAGGCTAAGGCTGATGAGTCTTGTAATATTTCATTTGTTATTTTTTTTCTGGGACAATCTTGATTTGGGGCTGTCTATATAGAATATGATCATTAATACCAGAAGGTAAATTCTGATGATGATTGATAACAGTGGGGAGGGGGGTGGTTCCATGAAGATAGTGTCAGCACTATTTCACATTTTTATTTTCATAGCTGTCATGCTTTTGATGATCTTCATAAAAGACCTGCAAAATCTTTGGTTTGATGTTAAAAGAGCACAAAATATTTGCATCTATATGCCACATTCTTCTCTCACAGCTGAAGGAAAGGGCCATGTGACTACCAATACAAATTTCCTTGAAGCATGCAGAAGCTTCTCTGCAATAGCTTACTCTAATCAAGTATTTTTAGAGCCACAATAATATAATTGTAAGAATGTCATTTTTTTTTTTTTTGGACCTCTTTATGTTGAGTTTTTGTCATAGGATGACAAGTTAAGCATCTCAATAGAACTAACAACTTCCTTATAATGCATATTTCCCATTTATTTAGTCAGTACTTAGAAAGAGCAAGTATTACTGCAAGTATTATTACATAAAAACCAGTAATGTACTTTTGGCAAACCTCTATCCTTTAATTATGTGTACAGAGAAGTTCATGGACCCTCTAACTTTGAAGAAATGGCTTTAAAAAATTTTGAAAAATATTTTCTAATTGATAATTTATTCATATGACTAAAATTAGACAATAAAGAACACATTCATATGCCACTAATAGCTTTAAAAATGTCCATGCATACAATGGCTCAACTCCCTCCTCCATTGGATACAATGAGATACTTCACCATTCACTCTCTTAAACTGTGAACATAATTAATAAATAGCTCCTTAAGTACATTGAAAGATCAATGAATTTTTTTTAAGTAGGTTATTAATGGCATCTCTGAATTTATATTATATTTATTTTCTAAAAGAATCATTTACTCCTGATCATAAACCACTTTTGGGGGAAGATACAGAAATTAGAGGATTCTTTCATGGATGTGGATTTAACAGTTTAGGAATGAATGCTGGTGGAGGTTGTGGACGAGAACTAGCTAGATGGATTTTTTATGGACGTCCAGAACTTGACATGTACAGTTATGATATTAGGTTTGTATGAATAAATAGTGCAAAATATTCTGAAATTTGGTCAATGTAATAAAGTATTCTNATTTAATGGGACCAGATGCACAGAAAGCAGCAGATTGGATATTTACATAATTCTCCCATTTTCACTGAGTGTAGTGCCATTTATGATAAAAACTGATACCACCATCTTGTGGCCCCCTTGAAGTCTAATAATTCTTTTTGCAAGCTACATATTTTTCCAAGTTATTTCAGTGGATTGATAAAAATGGATCACTCTGTACGTATATATGTTTGAAATTTGTTTCAATATGTAATGTTTGAAGAATTTTTCAAACAAGTGTTTATTTGAAAATAAATTGAACTAGCAAAAGTACTTGTAAATTTTGTTAACTTTCTATAGTACATTTCTGCTAGCTATTAAAATTTTAACACAAAAAGATGGTTTTTTTACTTTATTTGTATGGTAATTTGAAATACATTTATAAATACATTTTTAATTGATTTTCTAATTGTCCTAAAATGCTTTTAACGATTAGAAAAAGTGACAATTAGGAAATTAATTCAAATCAGTTATTACTTATATCAATACTTATACATTATACAGATTAGCCAAAAAGTCTGCTATTCATTATATTACTTGTATTATGTGTGTTATTATTCCTTATTTAGTCACTTTCAATGAAATGATTGAACCATAAATAATAACATGCAGTTGTTCCTAATCAGTCAATTGATTTTAAAATAATATCTTGGTTAACTGACTTTTAATCCATTTACTGATCTATAATGAATTTAATTTAATGATTCAGACTATACTTAACATTTTTATCTATTGATATATCCATTTATAAAACTCTGACTTCTGTTAATAAACTATAATTATTTTTTAATTTAAATAAAAATTTCGAATTATAATTGTCTTAAATATTCTGTGTTATTTTGTTAATTAAGGAAGTAAAGTGTAGTATTTAAAAACACAAAATTATATTTTATATTTTAATAAATTCATTTTTAAAATAAAACTTAAATTTTTCAACATAAAATAATACAATAATTTTATCTGATAAATACATAGTACACTAATATTAATTAACTAGTTGTTAAATTATTATAAAAATCCATATCTTCATTGTTATTCTAAAAATACATTATCCATTTTACATAGATTGGCAATGAATGTCTTGGTTGTAGAGAAAATGTGGCTGTATTTAACATGTCTTACTTTGGAAAATTTTATTTAATGGGACCAGATGCACAGAAAGCAGCAGATTGGATATTTACAAATGATGTTAATAAACCAATTGGTAAGTAATATATATTTGTTTAAAAAATTTTATAAATACTAATGAATACGAAGAAAATCTTAAGCAGAAAAGGAAAATTATTTTAAATTAATGCAAATGTTTTTGTTCATTTTAAAAGACTATCTTAATTAAACATAATTTCCCTCACTGCTTAAAAGTTTTCTTGGTGTTCATTGGTACTTTTTGTAGCAGTTTAGCATGATTTAATAATACTTTATAATTAATAACTTTATGAGGGCTGTCCCAAAAGTAATGCACAGTTGACTCTAACTCGAAAAATATTTATTGAAGAAGATACAAGTGACTACAGGCCTTCAAAATAATCCCCTCCCTTATCAATGCAAGCTTGCCAGCGGTGCGGAAGTGCTTGGATTCCGTTCAGTGTCCCCTTCTTATTGAGCATCTGAATCTGTCGGGTCACTTCTCTTCAGAGCTCTTCCAGCATCAGAAAACACACCCCCGAAGAGGTTTCTTCAGCTTGGGGAAGAGATCGAAGTCAGGTGGGCTCAGATCCAGACTATTTGCGTGCAATTTTCAAACATGTTGCTTTTTGTTTGACTGACAAGAAATGCGGTACCCACCATGCTGCCACCTTTCTTTTGCCTAGCACCTGTGTTAAAATACAATGCATGCTCGTTTTCGAGATTCCTATCTCTGCCTCAATTTCTCTACCGTGATTCTCCAGTCTTCATCGAGCAACGTTGCAATGATTGAAGCGTTTGTGTTGTCAGCTGTTACAGTAAATGGCCACCCTGTGTGTGGATCATCTTTGATGCTTGTTTGACCTTCTCGAAACTTTGTGTATCACCTCTGTACTGTGCTATGATTCACAGTAAACCTTCCACACACTTCTTTTAATGCAGCATGAATTTTGGGCACTTTTTTACTGTGCATTATTTTGATGTGAATATATATGCATGTTGCTCTGTTGCTGAAATCCGACCCGATGGACTGTTTTTGTTGTCTTTTCAAATTTTTGGCATTTTCCCTTTAAACGAACCCCACTACCATATGATACCAATGTGTTCATAAGACTTCAATCTACACACTGACACTTCGATCAGCTGATCAAAGTGTCAGTGTGTAGATTGTGTAGCTGATCTTCTCCTCACAGAATTAAAGGAGCTGTTAAAGTGAAAACTTTCACTGAAAAACCCAAAAATATTTTTCTATATGGTGAGCTGATAAGTGGTGATGAGAGTTATAAGATAGACTCAGTGTCTGTCATAGTCTACGTTACCTACAACTCCCGCTAGAACACACTATGCATTACTTTTGGGATAACTCTTGTAAAAATAAACTTTAAGCAGTAATAAATTTATTTTTTGTTAATTATCACATTTCTTATTCTATTTTGTTGCTTCTAATCCATATTCTTTTCTTCTTAGGAATTGTATTTACAAATTATTTCCAAATAATAATAAAGAATTTTGGGGAAAAATAGTCATAATTATAGTATAAATATTCATTTTATTGTTTTCTTTTTATAAAAAAGCACTCTTTCTACATAATTTGAGTTCCTTTCCTTTATTTATAAATTGAATTACATTAATCTGTAATATTTATGAAAATAATTTTTGCACGTTACTCTTTCTTAAAATTTGAAATGTAAATAAAATTTAATACAGGAAAATTCACAAAAACTTAAAATATATGAAAATGTTATTTACTTATTTCTTGCAAAAATTTCATAAGAAATTCTATTACAGAAAGAAGAAATAAACATTAAATGGCTTATTATACTTGCATAATACAGTAATAAAGAAATATTATATTATATAATAATTGTTAAATAATAAATCTATATATTAAGTGTAAATCAAAAGATAATTTCAATTTTTATGTATTTAGATAAAAAAGATTATAGATTTCTGTGATTTCTTTTATAAATAATGAGCATAGCTCTATGTTAAAGCCTGCAGCTATGCTTATTATCTATAAAAGAATATTCTAAATATCTGGGCTTTGAATTCTGTGTTAATGAATTCAAGCCTGAAGCTGTGTTCATTATCATAAAATTCATCTTAAACTTACAAAAAAGAGATTAATAGAATTTATTACTGTTTTTGAATTTATTACTGTAATCAATAGTTATTATAATAATCTTAAATGCTTAGGAAAGAATTGATATATTTTATAAATTGTTCTCTAATCAGTGAAAAGCAGTATAAATGTTACAATATGTACTAAAATTTGTTATATAATAAATATGAAAAATTCATTTTTTGAGAAATTTAATACTCTTATTTAGCTAAAATTACCATCAAATTTTTTTCTATTCAAAATAAATTTATGTTAATAAATTAAAACATTGTATTTCAAAGGTTCAACAACTTACACGTGCATGTTAAATGCAAGAGGTGGTGTAGAAGCCGATTTAACAGTAAGCAGTATAAAGAGTGGAGATAACAGCTCATGTGATCCAAAATTTGATGGTAAGAATGGAAATACATTATTCATGTTGTTATATATTTATGTAATTGTGCTAAATTTAAATTTATGTAATTAGATTTTAATTGCAAATTTTAAAATTGTTTTGAATACATATCTTAATTTTTTGATTTAAGTGTGTATCTATATATCAGTAAGTGAAAAAACAAAAAAAAACCTTTATCCAGTAACAAAAAATAAATTTCTTAAGAGAACTAATGCTTTCAATCTTATTTAAAGATCATAAGGTTCTTATGATAGAACAGAAAACAACTTTAAAACACAAACAATCAACTATACAAATTGATTAACCAATTTGTATATTCAAACTTGTGATACGATATATAACATGATTCAAATCATTCCATTGTTTTAAAGTAGTTTTCTTATCCATCATAAGAACTGGTAAATAAGATCAAAAGCATTAGTTCACTTAATAAATTTGTTTTTTGCTACTGGATACAGGTATTTTTTTACTTAATTACAGTAGTACATCCAGTTTTTTGCAGTAATTAATATCTATATATATTCATTACAAGAATTTTTATTGTTAAAAAATGTATATACTGATAATAAGACAGTAGACTTACTACATATCTAATTGTCTGTTCATCTTGAAGAACTTTGCAGAAATTAAAGGATTTAACAAGTTGAATTTAAGGAAATTCAGGGAAACAACTTACATTGAATTGCATCGCATCTCTCATTTTTCTCATTTATGAATATTATTGGCAGTTAAAAGTAAATTAAATAGTATCATATGTATAAAGCATTTTGTATAAAGGTGTCAATATGTATGACTTCAGCTGCAGTACAAAAGTATTTGCAGTTCTTTCTTTTGAACTTGAAATGTTTTATTTGTAATTTCATCACAAGCAGCTTGACTTTATCCTTGTGTCATAATAAAAGGAGATTGTAATTAATAGCTAATAATTTATAATATTTTATAATTTTAATAACAAAATTAAAATTAAAAAAGTGATAATTTTCCTCCATCATAAACATAAACAGAAACTGTACTTCATGGCACCAATAAGTTTTCCACAAAAAAATAAGTTGAGGATCATTTACTGACAATTTTTGTTTGTGGATTTGAAATGAATATGATATTCTTTTATATAATCTTAATCTTTACCTTTATACTTTGAATTATTTCCTTCACTGGTCATAAAAAATAATCCTTGAAATTAACGTAAGGTTGTTTGAACAGTTATGGAGTAAGCACTGTAGAAATTCCAGTTTCTAGAATTTTTCACAGACAAATTCTGATTGTCAAGTTGCTAAAATGAAAAAAATATATATAAAAAAAAAAAAAGAAGAATTTTAAGGCATTTTCCGTATTTATACATTAATAATTTCAATGTGTATGATATAATAAAAATGTATTTAAAATAATTGTTTTAATATTTTAATATATTGTTTCTTTTTTTATTAGATGATGGATTTTACATTGCAGCTGCTGGTGCTGCTTCTCAACAAAATTTTTCTCATATACAAAGTACAATTCAAGATAAAAAATTTCAAGTGTCATTGATTGATGCATCAGAAGAAATGGGAATGTTAAGTATCCAGGGGCCAAAAAGGTAAAAGAACACAATATAAGAATGTTATATTTTAAAAACTTTGTACAAATATGTATGAATGCATATTTTCAAAAAAAAATTTAGTTAAATTTACAAATTATAATTTTTTTTTAATTATTTAAATATTTTTTACATTTTATTTACATTCTATTTCTTTATTTTATTTTTTTATCATAGTATGAAAAAANNNNTTTAAATATTTGATATTATATTTTTATATTATTTTATATTATTTATATGTATCTCTTTTATGTAATTTATTATTTATATTTATATACATTTTATGATTTATAACTTTTTTATACACTTATACTTATTAATTTAGTTTTCTGACTGATTTGATTTTGATATCTGTTATATTATTGCACAAATTAATCATTATTAGGGGGTGGAAATTCATTGTCGTAAAACATTTCCAATTATATGTAAAATAAATAAATAAACATTAAAAATAATAAAATAACCTAATTTTAACATAGCTAACAAGCATAAACTTTCTGAATGCTGAATGTTTTGTAATTAAAGCTTTTACAACTTTTATATATTTTGGAATTCTTTTAATGAAACTATTTTTTATATATATATATATTAAGATGATGATGATACCTGACATCAGTTATCTTTTCAATCAGTTTTATTTTAGAGATGATGATATTTTGATTACCTGATGTCTAATCTCCTAAATTTTTTGTTAAGGATTCCTGTCAGACCAGTTGCCAACTGCTATAATAGGAACTTTTTTGACTAAAAAAGTTAACTGTTCTTTTTTATATGGCATGGATCCTTATCTTACATAGATATGAAAGTTTTACTATAATAAAATATAATACTTCTAATTGAAATTAATATTTTGTTATGATGATCTTTATGGTATACAACCATTATTTTTCTCATTTATAACTAAGCAAACTATAACTGTTTTGGATATTTATTTGTATTTATTATACAGAATTTTTGTTTTATTTGTGTAACTGATACTTTATTCTTTGAGAAAATATTTCAACAATTAATTTATCAATAAAGCAAACTTTTTAAAAAATTATTTTGAATTTATTTAATCAATATAAAATATTTACATTCAGTTATTATTATAGTTTAGAAAATAAAGTGTATTGTGTTACTAAAAATATGGATTTGATTTTATAAATAGTTACATAACTTGCAAGATTTACAACTGATTTCAAAGAGATTTTTAGCATTCTTCAAGTAATTGTTTCTAAAGATATTTCAAAATATAAACTGATTTTTAAGTAAAACATCTGATAAAAATTAAATAATAATGACTAGTTTTTTTAGCAACTGATTTTAAAACATACTGAGAAAAATTATTTTATTTAGTCGAGAATTGCTACAATTACTAACAGATGAAGATTTGAGTAATGAAGCTTTCCCATTTTCATCAAATAAAGTCATTAATTTTGCAGGACATAAAGTAAAAAATTGATTATCATTAATGTAAAATTAATGCAATATTAAATAAATTTAAGCAGATAATCATTTGAATATTTTATTTTTATGTAGGTCCGAGCACTTCGTTTAACATTTGTAGGTGAAATGGGTTGGGAACTTCATATTCCTAAGGAAAGCTGTCTTCCAATTTATAAAGCTCTGATGAATGAAGGAAAGAAATTTAATCTCATAAATGCTGGTTATAGAGCAATTGATTCTTTGAGTATTGAAAAAGGTAAGAACATTAATTAGTTTTCTTAAAACACTTAAATATTTATATTACTAATAATATTAAAATCCAAATTCTTTGTCAATAAATTCTAACTAATTAATAATCAGTCATTTTTAGAAATTAAACTATAACAAATTATATTAGAAAGAGCATATAAAAATTTCCTTCCGAACTTAAATTGTGACTTTAAAATTCTGAACTTAAACTTATGAATTCTGCAAGAATATTTAAAATTTGCATAAATAATACTTTACATTACAATCAATATATTTTCACTTGTTTTTGCTTCTTGGCAATGGTAGACTGACATTCTTTTTACCCAAAAGCTTGAACTGTTATAAGAGCAGAGACATAACTAAAAGGGGGCACATGCCATGGGTGCTGATCTTAGGGGCTCAAAAATGAGTTTGTAGAATTAAAAGACTGTAGAAGTTTTTTGTAATTAACATTGAATCAAGAATGTCAGATATAAGATTTGTCCTGGGTGCCAAAACTGTTCAGTACAGCCCATTATAGGAGACGTTTTGTAACCAATAATAATTGGACAACATCCAAACATCCAGCAAGGTCCAAGAACCTTGCTGCCTTTACAAGAACCTCAAGGCCCAAATAGTGAAGAACAGGTGGTGGGTGAGTTCCTTGAAATTGGGCCATACACTGAGCCCTTCTCACTGGTGCCTTGACATATATATATATATCTTTAATACTAAACACTAGCAAAGATATAATTGAAAACCTATCAAGAAAAAAGATAAGTTGAAAGAATGAAAATCACACCAGTCAACATAAATGCATAGAGAAAGCATTCATTTATTCTCTACTAGAGAAGTTATCAAAGAAGCTTGTTAGGATGGAGATGAAAATTTGATTTTTAGTATTAAAATGCACAAGTGAGACAAGTGCAGCCTGAAATAAGTATTCAGACATCTTTTTATAGTTCTAATTAACTCTAGCCTAAAGGACGAGGTCTATTAAGTGCTGCTCACAAATGAAAGACTTGAGGAGAAGCTGCTAAAATGTAGGCTATAAATAGATTCTGGCAAGCTCAGCAAGTCTGTAAAGTTGGGTGTTATGATATTGCAAGTCCCCTAAGAAAATTTTGAAATTTGACCAATTACAGAGACATTTTGAGGCTATATGGAATGGTTAAAGAGCTTATTATGAGGTCAATATGAAGAACTTCAACACATTGGCTTTAGATTTATTACTGAAATAGTCTTAGTTTAATAATATATTAAACTAATTTTAGGTATTTGTTATTAAACAAGTACTTAAAATCTCCATCAATTTTGTGAAAAATTCACTCATTAAAGAAAACAATTAGGGACCCTATAATTTCTTAATTCATTAGTTTTTTAGTACTACACCCTGTTTTTTTTATAAATGATTTATATTATTTATAGCTTTGATAATAGCTGTTAACTATGATATAGTGGAAATATATGTTTTGAAAATGTTACTTTTCCTATTGAACATTTATTAAAAAGTTATTGAATGTTTGGAAAAGAAAATTTATTTAGATAAGTAGAAAATTTGTGGGATCTTACAGAAATCTTCAGATATCATGTAATATGTAAATAAAGGTAATTTGGAAAACTCCAAGACTTTTTTTAATGGATTATTGACATCAAGACATTAGATTAAATAAATATTTAAAGGAAATTCATTTCTTTAAACATTTATTTAAAGCAAAGAATTTCCTTTAAAGAAATTATAAAATTAATTCATTTTTATAGTTTATATATTTTTTTAATTAATGATACTCTTATAGTTATAGTAATATTGAGAGAATATTACTATTATAGCATTATAAAAAATGTTTATATACAAGATGTCTCAAAAGTCATTATCTATTTTGAAAAATAACAGGAATTAAGACAAATTGGTTTAAGACATGAAAAATATATTTATTTCAAATTAAGTGCCTCAAATAATTAGTATTATTTATTTATCTGTCTCTGTGCAGTGACCATCAATGTCTATACAGAACTCAAAGCTCATCAGCACTGATTATTGAATGCATTATATCTCTAATTTTCTTGCATTTCATGCCTTTTATCTTGCATGTTACCGTAAACACTTGTTCTTCCACATTCATCATTAGTGATATGGATCTGTAATGGAAAATTTTCTGGAACAAATTATATAACATGTAATACTGAAATGAAAAAATACACTTAATAAGTAGAAATATTGTCTTTATTATTCAATATTCAGTAACTAATTCCTGGAAAAAGGCTGCAAAATGAAAGCATTTATTTTCCTCAAAAGTTTAATCAGTATCACTGAATGTATACTATTATTTTATTTTTGTATTTTGTATCATACCATGAAGATTGAACCATGTGCCAAGACAGAAAAGGTCTCTGTCAAAATTAAAGTTATACAAATATGTCATTCAGATTTTCTTCTGACCTAACCACTTTCTTAAAAGGAGATAAATACAGATGTGTTTTTTAGTTATTGTATAATGCTATGAAAGTGTTCTCATTTTATTTTTACTTTTTTTAAAAGATATTTAAAATATACATCATACATTTTCTATAGGATGTACCTTTATATATTTTTTTCAATAATTTTAATGATTAAGATTGAAATATTTTGAATGAATTACAAAAATAAAAATTTTATTAATATTCATCAATAACTTTCATTAGTAGTAGTAATTTTCTACAGATCATAACATTTCTTTGCATTATTAATTAAAATAAAACAAAAATTTTAAAATTTTACTTTTTAAAATTAATGATTCTCTGTAAGTCTGTATAAAAATAGTTTTCATTAAAATATAATGTTTTTTACATGAATTCTATGGAAAAAGATCTTCTTAGTGTTATTGAATTACTTCAAGAATATACCATTCATAACAATATTAAAAGCTACATAAATGGTATTTCTTGAAATACAGTAATTCAATCTATAATAGATTATTTTTAACAAGTTTTTTTAAATAATAAAATATAAATATTTATTTCATAAAATTTTGAAAAATTTCATATTTTTCTAATAATAATTGCTTAGCACTAGAGATGATACTTCATGAACAAATCTTGAGACATTGCATCAAATTTTGTTTTTAGTTATGGAAAAAACGCATTTAAAGGTATTGAAGTGTTTTATATAACAAATACGAAATATTTCAAAGTTTGGAATTCTCGCTTTGATCATTTTTATGTATTTAGTAGTGTAATTTTATATGTTAGTAGTGTGAAGATTTTACACCCTATTTAGTTTTGAGGCTAAATATGTACAGTAGCTTCTACTATATTGTACTTTGTAAATATAGCCTATATTATCTTTGAATAATATATGAAAATAAAACTATACAATAATAATAACTATTATGATGTATATGTTACTGTGAAAGACAGAAATTAGAGAATGTCGATATTCTCCGGTGAATGTCGACACATACAAAATACGTCGGTGAAAGTCCGAATATTTGGTTATACTGTATTATTATACATTCGAATAATCGCCGGTGTATGTCGACAAGCACAGATAAGCTTTGGTGGAGGTCGAAACGACACCCGAGAAGCCGATGTCGACAGAGAGGCGACAGTCTATCGCCAAATACTTTGTGGATAGCCGGAGGTAGGACACGGTCGTACCTCTTTTTCCGGCAACGGTTTGGTGGAAACTGCCCACTTTGTCACTGGATGGCGTTTTTGTTCTTTTGATCCCGTGAGGTGGGGATCGGTTTGTCAGGTCGAGTGGCGGAGGATGAGAGGGGTCGTCGGTAAGGCGTCGGCGATATCCGAATAAAAGACACCATTAACAGATCAGTTCGTAATCACGTAATAACGTAATCAGTTCGTAATTTGTAAAGAAAAGTTACTTTCCATAGATGAGATTTCTTCTCAAGAAATATCGCTGAGAGAAGCAGCTGCAGCTAATTCGAAAAGTGGAGGGCAAGGCTATACACGCTGTCATTGCAAAAAGAAGTGTTCCACGAATAAATGCAGTTGTAAAAGCAAGGGACTCTTGTGCAATTCAAAGTGCCATAACAGTTTAAGTTGTTGCAATAAATAAGATTGTATAACGTTAATCACATAATTTATGTGTAAGTTTATTATTGTATTATTTTCTTTAATGATTAAGAATGTACTGTTCGTTTTAGGTTCAACAGTTTATTTAAATGTGCTGTTACTTAAGCTTTCTCCTATTTTCACATATTAAAATGTTGCATTTTTGTCTTAAAGTAATAAAAATATTTTTATTCAACATTCACCATCATGCTGAATGTCGACATTTGCCGGTGTAAGTGAGAAATAATGATATTTAGTAAATATTTCGTACATACACGAAACGACTGTGTGAATGCTAACATTCACCGGAAAATGTTGACATTCGCCAGATATCGGTCATTCACAGTAACATATATATCTAATATTGTTATTTATTAGGTCTATATTAATTATTATCTCTTTCTTATTTAGTTGATCATATGATCCATTATCAAATATAGGAACATTTCACATTTAAAAATTATAATAAAAATGAATTGTATCACCAATTGATGAATTTTTTAAATTTATAATTTCATTTTTCCGTATGAATTTACACTTTTTCGTAATCATCTTGCTATAATAAATCTATATCATCAGCTTCCATTGATTTCTCATATTTTTTGTTTATAATTGGAATGTAAGTCGGGTGCAAATATTACATTTGCACATGTGAAGGCTACTTTTTTCAGCGATTCAATAATTTAAAATTTCACACATGACCTATAATATCCTTTTATGGAAATTCAAAAATCCACAGAAAAATCTCTTATAGATGGCAAGTAGTAATTGATCAATCGATATAGCCTAATTGCATATTCTGCTTTTTAATTTAAAAAAATTTTTGAACGATTTCTAATCTCTGTATCTAGGCCTTTTACTTCAGCAAGTGATATGTTCAACTACTGTAGTTTCTTCGTAAGACTTGGATAGAATTTAAATATTATTATAACTTTAATATACTTGTACTTTAATCTTTATACTTTTACTGTTTAT